CGGCACATTTCTCAAAACTAGGTATTGAGCAGATATAACTTTTTAATTTTAAGGTGGCGATTTGTTGGTAAGGAGGAAGGACATGAGTTTCAGACCAGTCACAGAATTAGACACAACCACACACGTTGCTCTGAGCTTAGGACGTCAATGTATAACGTCACGCCGCGAGAGACGTTCCTCTTCCTGCTCCTGTGTATTGGATAAGCTACTCGGATTGTGTGTGTGTGTGTGTGTGTGGGTGTGTGTGTGTGTGTGTAGGTGTGTGTCTGTGTATGTGTCTGTGTCTGTGTCTGTGTACACGCGTGTGTACGCGCGTCTGTGTGAATGTTTGTTGCGTGTGTTATATCTTGCTATAAGTATAAGTGGTTTGTCAGCTCTCCCCCCCCTCTCTCTCTCTCTCTCTCTCTCTCCCTCCCTCTCTCTCTCTCTCTCTCTCTCTCTCTCTCTCTCTCTCTCTCTCTCTCTCCCTTGCTTGTCATATTTTTATATAGTAGAACTTACATATCAATTCCCCATCCATCTGTTGGTTGTTCGGTTGTTCTGGGGTCAGTGAAAGCCGTTATAGTAGACACTGAAAGTGATTACAGATTCCCAGAGCGTAGTACGGCTACGTGCACCAAGCTACTGCGAGTGGAGCAGCACTTGGAACTGCAATGCTATGAAAGTTGAATGAGTTTCTCTTGCGAGAAGATCAGTGTGATTTCCCTGCACCAGACACAATCGGGCCCGCGCGGGATTTTCTTGCTCAATTGTTAATGGTTTCAGTTTCGTGCCCCAAAGGAGGTCAACAGTAGTCTTTTAGTGGCGCCCCCTGACGTGGCTCTATTATAATTGCAATCAGCGTCATTCATCTTTTCTTTTCTTTTCTTTTCTTTGGCAGGCGTTTGTGTGTGTGTGTGTGTGTGTATGTGTGTGTGTGTGTGTGTGTGTGTGTGTGTGTGTGTGTGTGTTCGTTTTTGTGTGTGTGTGTATGTGTATGTGTATTCCTTTGTTCACGCCATTCAATCCAATTTGCAATAATTCATTCATGGGAGTCATAATTAGTTGACAGGATTTCTTTGAATAGCAGTTTACAGTATATTGGGTTTTGATAAGTAGTAAGAGTTTAACGGCGCTCGCTACTGCTTAAGGTCATATGAGTGTATTGAGCTTCGTATATTTTGTGGGGGGGTTTCTTTTCTGAGAGGCTTTTATTCGGTCAAGTCGGGGTATTTCCAAACGTGGGCCTCTTGAGACAAGGCCAAAGAGTATTTATTTTGATAAATCATTAAGATGTCAGAACACAAATTCAATTTAATGTACGTGCATAGGCATACGCTTTTAATTCAAGTGCCAGATCTCAATCAGAGTGGGTGGTTGTCGAGTGCTCTGGTGTGGTTTGCTTCTTCTTTCCTATGAAACATCTATCGTCCTTATCTCCCTTTCTTCTTTTTTTATGTTTGTTACTCTCTTGTAACACCTCTAATCTTCTGGCGCTCATATGACCTTATGCAGTTGCGAGCGTTAATCAGATACTGACGTACGGTAGTGTAGTTGGTGTATACCTGTGTCGTGCATTTTCGATCCGTTATGCTAACGTTCTTTTCTATTCCTGTGGTTAGCAGGTGCTCTGGTGTGGTTTGCTCCTTCTTTCCTATCAAACGCCCTTGTCTCTCTCCTCCCTCCCCCCACTTCTTTTCTTCTTATGTTACTCTCTTGTAGTAACAACTCTAAAAATCTTCGGCACTTATAATAAGGATCTGTTTGTGTTGCAAGTGCTGTAAAACTTCTTAAACGAAACTGAAATGTTCCTGGCGAAACGTGACCTTCGATATCTCGGTCTAATGTAAAGCTGCAAGTCAACAACAGCAAGATGTACCCCGAAAAATACACACAAAAAAACAATACAAGACAAAACAAAACCCGGATCTCTTACGCGCGATATAATTGCCCAATCTCTATGTGGGCATTTAAATAAATGATTTTCTTTACAATACTGCACTGGTCTGATTAATTCATGATAGTGATAGAATGTTCATGTTATTGCTGGCGGGGTGACACCAGCGGAGAAAGAGCGCTGGCCGTATGCTGTTTGATGATATAAGATTGCTCCTGTACTTGTAATGAATAAATTATCATGTTAGTTCTCCCCCCCCCCCCCCCCCCCCCCCCCTTGTAGATCACTGAGATAATGCACCAGATCAGGGAATGAATACTTACTTAACATAAACTTCCTCGTTCCATTGAATGTTTGAATGTTTTAACACACTCGTTCACAGGAGGAAAACGTTTATAAATATTTTTTATATTAATTTGTATATATATATATATATATATATATATATATATATATATATATATATATATATATATATATATATATAGAGAGAGAGAGAGAGAGAGAGAGAGAGAGAGAGAGAGATATATATATATATATATATATATATATATATATATATATATATATATATATATATATATATATATATATAGGCAGGCAGGCAGGCAGGCAGACAGACAGACAGATAGATAGATTAATAGATAGATAGATAGATGCAATGCACTCACATGTGTCTATGTTTGCATATTGGTCTAAGGAGAGGGAGAGGGAGAGAGAGAGAGAGAGACAGAGAGAGAGACAGACAGACAGACAGACAGATAGATAGACAGACAGACAGACAGACAGACAGACAGACAGACAGACAGACAGACAGACAGATAGACAGACAGAGAGACAGAGAGAGAGACAGACAGAGAGAAAGAGAAAAGGGGAGGGGTGGGGGAGGGGGGGTTGTGTTAACTTAATTTTCTGTTGTAGCTTTTTTTTTTAATTCAATCCGCCCGCCCGTATGTCCTAGTACAGATCGGATGCCTACCGATCTGGTGTGATCGAAGTTCAGACTTATTTGGGGTGGATAATTATAACACCTTTCCTGTGCACACCTAACACTTACGCCTGTGCATGTGGTGGTATACCTGTACATTCTTTGATGCATTGTCTCTATGTTTTCTCTCTCGTCTTCATTCTACCCACAGGCCGAAGTGCTCCTGTTTCCAAATGATCTAAATTGATTATATACTCGTCGGCGTTTTGTTCGAGTAAAGAGAAACGTTGTCACGATAACTTCTACTTATTAGAAAAGGGAAGAATCTATAGACCAACAGAACTATGTAAAGAGACTCTCGTGGCCTATAGGTTAAGGTGTTGGCCTCTCATTCAAAGGTCCCGGGTTCGAATCCGGGTAGCGACCGAAAAATTTTCTTCTCTAAAATTGTCTCCTTTCACCTCCTTTCCTGCTCTCTAGCAATGTTCTGTTGTCTGCTTTCAATTCCACTTTCTGCCCCCACCCCTCACCTCCTTTGCCCCCTCCTCTGGGCTCCTGACTCTTTCTGCAGCCTTTCTACTGCTACTCCTTGGCTCGTCCTTACTGCTGTCTTTCTGCCACACCCCTGATCTTCTGGTAGGAAAGATCTACACCTAGCCTTCTCGGACAAGGGCGAAAAATCTCGGAGGGCCCGTGTGCAAGTTGCGCACGCTAAAGATCCCTTGGTGGTCTAAAATCGATAAGAGTAGGCTTCGTCCGCCAAATTCAAAATTTCCTACCAACTGAAAACATTAGGTGTGTCCCGCGCGCTCATATGACCTATGCAGTTGCGAGCGCCGTAAAACACTTTACAAAAACAAACAAACAAGAACTATGTAGTAATTTTAAGACTCTAGAGCCTGAGTAAACCAGAGTTGTCTAATTCTTGTTTTTCCCTCTTTGGTAAGTCCAGTTGAGAGCAAGGACCTTTACTATATATATATAATATATATATAACCTCCTTGGTTGAGTTTTACTCTCTCTTAAAACAAAACCTAGTCCCCTGCTTAATTATGACCCTGGCGTTTATTTTACTTATTATGCAGTACTGTCCTACTTTGTGTTCCCACCTTAACTCACTAACCCACAGCACGCTCAGTAACCAATTGTTTTCAACATGGTGTGAATTTATTATGCTTTCCCCTCTTCATCTGCTCTTAAATTTCGGTAATTTCAATCGTTTTCCACAATTTTCTTTGCATGCATGCAGCTGCTTCGCCTCACTTTTATTTGGCTCAACAGATTATTTCTTATCTGTCACTGCAATTTGTGCAGCGTGTGTATGGTGAAAGAATAAGTAAAGATTGCTTAATCAGTGTCTGCTGTGATGTGTCAATCTTTAATTTTTGTTAATAGGACAATTTTTTGATTTGTTAAGTGTATTTTACTTTCATTTTCTAAAAAAAAGCTGCCTTTTTCGAGATTTTATAGGCTGATTTTACTGATAAGAATTGGCAGGTGACTTGCTATAAAGTATTCTATATTATTTCAGCAGCATACTTAACTCATTCAATATCTCAGATTTGTAACTTTTCTTTTGATAATTTCCCAAATTTGGAACTTTGCACTGGTGACTGGAATTGGAAAAAAAGGGGGGGGGCCATTTTTATTAGGGAGGTACTCTTTTAATTGGAAATTGTGTCAATAGTAGACTATTATATGAATTGCCATTGCCTACAAAACAAAGTGGTTACCTATTTAGTTTGTTGTATGACTTTTTCCCCCTCCATAATCAAATATTTCTTAATTAGTTCACTGTTTCGGTGTTTTAATCTGTCTTATGGTTTTTTTTAAAGTAGTTCTGTCAGAGAAATGTTTAATTTGATTTTTGGCTAATATAGACACTCAGATACATTTACATCTTTAACTGACTGTGAAGATAAATCAAGCTTAATTTTGCTTTAAGACGGTCAGTAAAATAATAGATTATTTGCTGTTATTGCCAAAAATGCAGAACAGTTAAGTCTTTTTATAGTTCTGTTAGTTTATAGCTCCACATCCATAAATCCATATCCTTTCACTGTTCCTCAAGATTAGTTACAAAATATATTGGTCTTACTATAACTGTATTATCTCATGAGAAGTACATCGAATGATGTTTTGGGATCTTGTCTTATGTTGACCCTTTGTTAATAATAACGGTCCTGATAATTTCAGAAATGGAATATTTCATAGAGACGTCAAGCCGGAAAATATCTTGGTAAAGGTAAGTGTTGCTGTTAAGATATTGAAAGTCTTCAGGAATGAGGAAAATTTGTATGGGGGTGGTTGAAGGAAGGAGATGGTTTTATATTTTTTAAAAATAATTTTTAATTAGTTGTCCGTGGTTTTGTCATAGTGGCTGCAGCATAGACCCACCATGTTGAATTTGGTTTGTTTTGGGAAGTTTTCAAGGGATTTAACTTAATTAGCTGGGTCCTGTTGAAGTTGGCCTATAAAGCTCTGATAGGTCCTGCCTCTCAGAATACTTAAAATGTTGAATGGGGTGTAAAAGCCATAATGTACAAACGTTGCCATAATACTCGTCTGTTGCTAAGACTAACTGATTTGTCTTATGGTTTTGTTATAGTAACTACTCAGCAATTTGTTTTGGATGTCGAGATATATATCTAGAAGAGTCCCCAAAATAATGAGCTTTTTTATTTATTCAGTACTTGTGAATGTTCAAAGGGTTTGTGTTGTTGTTATTCATTACTTTTTGTTGCCTCTCAGCAGCTTTGTGTTTCGTTGTAAGAAGAGTTTTACTGGACTTGCTACTCAGTTAGGTCATACTAGTTCCGAAGATTTGAGGTGTTAATAACAAACACAGAAAGGGAGGAGAGATGAGGACAATGGATGTTTGATAGGAAAGAAGGATCAAACCACACCAGAGCAATCACCAACCTCTCACTCCTTGACAATGACGACATTTTTCAAAACCAACATTTTGGGAATATAGTTAAAAGTCATCTTGTTATTGAGTTCTAGCAAAATCAGAAAAGTCTGTTTAAAAGATGCATCTTAAATATTCTTTGTAGATCAAAGATATTCTGTTAAACCAATGATGAACATGACTAATTCCCCTTCCTCCAATCAACATTGTCAAGTACATGATATTACATAGAAGAAAAAGCCCATACAAACCTAACCTAAGAGATATTATATTTTTTTTCTTGTCTCCAGGATGAATTGCTCAAACTTGCTGACTTTGGATCATGTCGAAGTGTGTACTCCAAGCAACCCTACACAGAGTACATCTCTACGAGATGGTAATCTACATTGTTTTCTAATTTTATTATAAGACAAAAATGTTCTATTTAATTTTTTTTTCTAGTTTTTTTAGTTTCATGCGGGAAGATCTGAATATTCTTTTTTTTTTTTTTTCTTTCTAGTTTTCTTAATTTCATGTGGAAAGATCTGAAAGATTCGTGAAATGAACTGTGTTCTGTCTTTAAAAATTAGAAAAACTATTCTTGATGTATTTGTATATATAAGATATAAATGTACTAAATATCTGGGGGGGTTTTGCAGCTGGTATTATGTCATAGATTTCAACAAAGTGATGAGCATAGTAATACTTTCTCAATTTTGCAACAACTACTAAAACTGGAAGAGGGACTTCCTGTCCTCTGACAGAACCTACCCTATTCTTTCAAAGAGTGCCTGGTATTCTTTTTCAGTTCCTCAGAGCAAGGTTGTTTTATCACTTACGATTCGATGAGGAGAAAGGTGAAGAAATCAAGAAGAACAACTATGCCCCTGAAGTTCTCAAAGGCTTTTTAGCGCAAACAAATTTCCATCCTAATGCACTTTTCCCCCTGTGCCAGATGTGACTTTCCTATAGATTGTTTATATGAGCCACGCATCACATTTTTGTGAAATTTACACGAGTTGAGAACTGATTATATTTGCTCCAGCTTTTTGTTATCCAGCCCAACATGTCTCTATCCCCTCCCTTCTCCGACTTTCTGTTAAGAGAGACATTGTAAGTCAAGTTCAGAGTCTGATGCAGAATTGATTTACTTACTTTACATTCATAACCTGTATATGAATTTAAAAAGTTACTCATATTTTCTGCTTTGGGTAACTTTGATTTCTTTTGGTCTGTAATATAAATTTGTGGTAATATGAGTTACCGCACAACAATTCTCAGGTGGAGCCTTTATTGTTATTGTTTGTTGAAAGATATTTTCTCAATAAATGGAGACCTTTGATTAAGAAGTGATGTTCGTCATCTTCAGGTACCGAGCACCAGAATGCCTCTTGACCGATGGCTACTACAACTACAAAATGGATATCTGGAGTGTTGGGTGTGTCTTTTATGAGATCCTGAGGTGAGCTGAAAGATGAATTTGAAGAAAATGACAGCATTACAGAAATTGTATTATTTCCTTTCATTCCATGTTAATCCTCATTGTATGTTTTCTTGATATCAAATTAGGCCCTTTGTGCAGATTTATGATTGTGTGTCTTTCTGTGGCAATGAAATGATATTGGTAAGAAAAGTATTTTATTCATGAGCTGTAATACTTTTCCTGACATAAAATTAAGTGCAGATTCTTTTTTAAAGTTTTTCTAGAAAACTTGATAGAAAAATTTACCAAGTGCACAAAATAGCGTAGAAATTTACCTGCTATTTTATATCACAAATGACTGGAATGAATTTGATCAGAAATAAGCATTTCAATCTTTTTTAAAGAAACGAAGAATGGGAATCTGAGAGGGTTTTTTTTGTTTCATTAAGTACCATACAGTGGTGGTTTTGTTCTAAAATTTGGGGCATGTGAAGGTGGAAGGAATGGAGGATAATTTGAATATTTAATTACTCAGTAGAGTTTTTGCAGGGTGCTTTTTTTTTTTAAGAAAACCATAAGCATGAGAAAGTTCGACATTTAGAGAAGCGTACTGATTATGTTTTGTTTATTACCTTGGGTTAGGTTTGGGTTGACTTTTTTTTTTTCTTTGATATAATGTCATGTATTTGATTATTGTTGATGGGGGGGGGGAGAAGGGGGATTAGTCATGTTCATCACTGATTAAAAATTTCACACTTGTTTCAGTCTGCATCCACTGTTCCCCGGATCCAACGAGGTGGATCAGATTGCCAAGATCCATGATGTGATGGGCACTCCTGATGCTAGTGTTCTCAACAAGCTGAAAAGGTATGTCGCCCACACTTGAAACTATTTCACAATGTAAAAGTTTTGTGTAGCCAGGATTAACCGGAAAAGTATTCCGAGCAGGCCTGGGGTTAGAAATAGTCTTCTGTCTGTCTCTAAGAGGAACTCACAACTCCCCCTCCCCATCGACTGGGGGTGTCACTTGTATGTCACAACACTGTCATGCCAGTGTGTCAACTGAAAGTTTAGTCTAGCAAAAAGAATTTTAAAAACTAAAACAGGCCCCTTAAATGCCACAGGTTGGGGGGGGGGGGGGGCTGTCATCGGAATCACATTGTTTCTGTCTTGTTATGTTTTAAACTCTTGCTAAAACACAACAAAGAGTAAAAATATTTCATGTGTTTCAGTACAGTAGACTGTGTGAGTCACTATTATTACCCCCAGAAGACCCCTAGAACATGACTCAGAGACATTTTCAGCTTCTTGGGAAATGTACAGCGCAAGCTACGAATTACCCGTGCAAAAACAATGACAAACTGACAAGATATTTCGATGTCTATATTTCTGTCCCAATTGTTGCTCACGCAAAATGTTTTCCCTTTTACAATATCTACCAAAGGTCAAGGGGCATGAACTTTAACTTCCCACCTAAGAAAGGCTCCGGAATTGATCATCTTTTGACCCACGTCTCATCAGACGCCATTGAGCTGATTTACCTCATGTGTACGTACGACCCAGATGACCGCATCACAGCAAGAGAGGCCCTCAAACACCGTTACTTCAAGGAAATGAGGTGAGACACTGATCAACTCTGCTTCCCTGTCTGAAAGTTCCAATCAAAGTTAAAGTTCTGAAGCGGCATTTATAGACTTGTATCCTTTCTGATAGAAAGCTCAAGCCACCTCTCTGGGAATCATCTGGCCAACATGCTTAAACTAATTCAATCCTTCAGGCGGGAATGCCGCATTGCAAGCTATAAAGTTTGTTCAGCTACCATTTACAGTTACCAGTAACGTTGTATTGTTCAATTGCTCTAAATGCCTTCTTTGCGAGGTTTTGAATCCTGTGGTACAAAGACATGCTGCATCAAAGGCTGTGAGTTCATTCAATACTTTAGGGCCTTTGTGATTCTTATTTTGTTTAGTAAGAGTTTTATGGCGCTCACAACTGCATAAGGTCATACGAGTGCTCTCTCATTCTCATTGACATCAGTTCAGGATGATGCAAATAGCTGAGATTTTTTGTTGTATTTTAGGAGAGGGGGAGGGGGGCAGAACTTGAGTATTGTGCATAATCATTGGTTTGTTTATGCTTGCCATCTGTTCTGAAGTAGTTTAAAATGACTATTTGGTGTACAGGTTAGGTCCTCTAGTAAGTAGTTTCATTTTTGTTCATTAGCAAAGAGAAGCACAATGGCACAATATCTGTCATTTAGTGTTCGGAGACAACTTGATGGACAGACAGATGAGGGAGAGAGACAAATAATAAAGAATTAGGATGTGATTTATTCAAATTTGCTACTTAGAACTACAAAGCTTTATCTGACATTTTTTACTGTTTTGAGTAACTAAGACCGTGAGGTCTGAAACCAAATGTTCAATCTACTCTATCAAAATCATAAGATTATTATCAAGATATGTTATGAAACTCAAAATTTTTTACATCGTATTTCTCAAAACTAAGCACCGAGCAGATAGAACTTTGTAATTCTGGAGTAGCAAAGTGTTACGAATCACTTACGAAAAGAGAGTAAAAAAGGACACCATGAAGTCATGTGGAGTGAATTTGTAATCAGAAATGAAAAAGAAAACCCCACTGATTCTTCTGTCTTGTTTATGTGTTCAGAGATACAGACAAGAGGGCAGCGTTACTTGCAAGGCAACGAAAAACTCAGCAACAAGAAAACAAGGAAGTGAAGGAGGCTCCAGCTTCTATACGAAATGATGACGAAATCTCTGAGAAAATCATACAGCTCGATGAAGACCCGTCTTCCCCTTTGAAGACTCGCATGACAGAAATCACCATGTACCCTACTGTACCCAAAGCTCAGTCTCATCCTAACCATCCATTCAAAGACAGAAGAAGAGTAAGCTTTTATTGTCCTTTTTTGTATAGTAATTATTGTATTATAGCTAAGCTCTTTTTAATTCCTTTCCTTATTTTTTCGCAAGCGCTTTCCTTGCTAGATAGAATCTGTAGTATTTTTGTACTGAAAGCTGTCATTTCAAACTGAGAACTAAGAAGCGCTGTTGTCTCAACTGTTTTCTATGAGGAGATATTTTCTTATGTAAAAGTAGAACTTCAGTTATCTAACTTTTGTGGGACCAGTGATATCAGATTTACTCTGATGACACAATCAATTTTCTGTATTCAGTTTAAAAGGATTTTTAGGCATTGGTATATTATTGTTTTGTTCTATTTTCTAGAATTTTTAAAGAGGAGAAAAGGGAATGGGGTGGGGAGGGGCTTTGGTTTAGAGTTTATATAGAACATATTAAAAGCAGATGTGTAATCTTGTCGCTTTAGTTACCAAAGGAATTTTTTTAACATTTTGTGTACACGTTTTGTTTACTTTGGGTTAGGCGGGGGAGGGAGTTGTGATGGGGTGGGCGGGATTACGGGGGGTTGAGCAAGTTCATCACAGAAAAGAGGGAAGGGTGAGAATAGGATTATTTTATTTTTTTTAACTCAACTTCTTTAACATATCTGAAATATAACTCAGGGGCTTGATTGTAATCTGTAAACCAAAGCCTCATATAATTATTGTGCTGTATTTTGTTCTCTCTTGTAAAAAAGAATTATAGCAGACTCTATAACCTTACTCTACAGCACTTTTAAGATTTATTATTCAAACTTATAATTTGAATATCTTGATGGTTCCTAGTTCTCCACATATTAGGTTTCTTTGCTTTAATGCTTTTAGGTGAGTAAGCCAAAAGCTTTACCAAAGGTGGACTTTTATGCATCTGAAACGGATGAGACGGGTTCAAAAGCTGGTGGTGCAGGGGCAGGTGTTGAAGGGAAGAAAAAGAAGAGGAAGGTATTCTTCGGGTGACAAGCGAGTGGCACGCAGTGTGTTGGTTCCTATTTAAAGGACACGCACACACTTTCCACTAGATACTAGAACACACTAGTGTGCTCGCACGCACTTGTTTTTCATTGACACACATGAATGGATTGATAATGTGTGCCAGATGGAAAGCTGAAATAACTCAAAACCAAGCCAGAGTGTGAAGTGCTGGCTCAGATGAAGGTGAATGATGGGCACTCTGGTGTGGTCTGCTCCTTCTGCTTCCTTTCCCCCGTGTTTCTAGGGTCCTAATTCGCTCCCAGGCGAGATCTGGCCTTAATAATTCCCACTTGTCTAAAACTACTACTCTGCCACCCAGCTACCTCTAATAAATATTATTACACTGAACAGTTCCTCTGGGAGTTGGGGATGTAAAAAACATATTAATTATTTTTTACGCTTTGGAAACATTTTTTTTTTCTGAACCATAAGTTGCTCTCGGGCATTAATCTAAAACTTTCAGCTAAGAAATGTTTTCTCTGCTGTGACAAACATTCAATGGATGAATTTAAATCATGCCGTCCAAAAATTCACAGGGCTCCTCCGAATCTGCCACTGCCAACAGTCCACCATCATCAGTAATGTTGTCTATTTTTGTGGAGGCTTTTTGGATTTTTTTGTTTTTTGTTTTTTTAAACTATCATTTGTCACACAAAGTTGAAGGGAGTTTTGTCTGTCTATTACCCTGTTCTTCAAGGTGGAGTTGATAAATTCATCCACCTGTTCAGTGCTAGCAGCACCTTGGAAAAAATATTTTTTCCAAAAAAGTAGCCTTCAACTGCCTTCATCTAGAACATGTACTTACCGGAGGAAAAAGTTAGATTTGAGCTTTAGTATGCATTTATATTGCCATGATGTCTGTTTTAGTTTCCTTTGAAGATCCATATAAAAATATACTTCACCTCACCCAAAAGGACTCTTCTAGTCTTGACATAAACATTTCTTTTTGACCCTTAAGTTCACATTTCACTGGTGTGATATTTTCTTTTATAACTCTTTATTGGTGTTGCTAAAAGTCTGCGAAAGTACATTGTATACACTGTCACTGGTTGGTTTTTTTTCCTTTCATTTCTGGGCTTTGAAATTAAATTTTGATAGTCAGATAACTGCTTTTGAATTTGTGAAGGTGCTATCAATATGATTGCTGTGGCCCCCCTGTTCTTCTTCATTTCTTTTCTTTTCTTTATTTTAGTATGATTATGTGTTCAGATAATTTGTCCAAGAAATGTGTGTGTGTGTGTTTGTTTTGTTTTTTAAAGAATTTATTTGTTTTCCTTATGGAAAGTTTTTTACGTAGTTAATGTTTTATGGTTATTGTGAGGAAGGAGGAGGGTGTGTTATACCTTTCCAAAATGTTGTGCCAATTTGCTTACGCCTACGTCAAATCTGTCAGGATAACCAGTATTGGTCGGTAAAACTAATTGAGAATTGACACAGTCTTAATAGAAAGTCAAGACATGGCAATGACTCTCTTTTACACAGCAGGGCATTTTGCTGGTGTATTACTCTTGACACTGGTTGCAATACTGTGCTTTTTACAATCTGTTGCCTTCTCTGTGTCTCTTTTCAGACATAGACATAATAGGTCTTTTAGGGTTTTATGTACAACTGAACCTTTGCAGTTAAATGAAAAGTCACAAATTTCAAATCATTTCTTGTTGTCCAAGAGGCTTGATTTACTAATTTGCCGTTTCTTGACAGTTTTATTCTGCAACCAAACAAAACTGCAACTGAATATAATTGTGTGATTTTATTTTCTCTTTTCAACAATGGGGAAAATGTATACTGATTTTCCATGAATTTTAAGACATTCTAGCTGATATAGACACCTTTTTCGTAATCTCTTGAAAGGAAAGGAGCTTCATTGTTATGTTTTAAAATCTTATCTTAATGATATGATCTGACCTCAGAGTGGGTTTTTGGAGGACACTACTGTTGGGTGCTTTCTTCTTTTCTTTCTTTCTGTTATGTCTGTCTGTCTCTCTTACCTCTTCCCTGCGCTATACGACAGTTATTGTGTTAATGCGTTTCTTTTTACTCAAACCAAACTGACTTCAGATGTAACAAGGCAAAATGTTTTAGTTATCACTGTGTATACACCAGTGTGCTAATTCTCACTCTTATTTCCAATGGAGACTGGGGTAAAAAAAAGGGCGTCCAAGTAATTCTCATGTGCTATAAACTAATAACAGGTGGTTGGGGAGTGCTTTAGTGAAAGAGAGAGGTTTTTTCCTTCCTCTTCCATTCAGCTTCACTCTCTTCCTAATCTCTTTGTCTCTTGGGAAACGTGGTCGTAATTTGGCTGATTTTCTTCTATCTGCTACAATCCAATAAGAACATAAATTATTCTTACAAAACCAACATTATAATAATAGTATCAAATATCAATCACATTGTGTGCATTTGCATCGCCAAAAACTTTGTCCTCAATAGAATGTAACGGAGAGGTTTAAGTTACTAGTATTTCTCATTTCCTTTCTCCGTGGTTTTATCCTACGACATGAAGCTGCATGGCTTAATGAGCTCTTTAAGATGAACTGAACCATTTCATCTACTGCATTGGTCGCAGAAAGTTTGATCTTTACATTATACAAGCTGCTAAGACGACTATCTGACACACAAATACAAACTTACTGGTCGCTTACAAATTGGTACTTACTTACTTGGTGGGAGAATAGGTATCATCGCAGGTGGTAGAATGCCATAGCTACTCCTCCCTCCTTTCCAGGATCCATGACTGGTTACTTTTTATTCATAAAAGTGTGTTCAAAAACGTTTTTGTCGTCTGTAAACTTTTATTCCTGAAATAGACTTTTTGGTTTGTGTGTGCTGCTGGGCTATGTTTGCTCTTCGGTTTCTTTTTGTTTGTGTGCCATGGCTCAGTGAAGTGACGATGCTTGTGAGTGCTTCCTGTTGCTGTCAAATGAAAAGGCTTTAGGAGTGTAAATACACACATGGAGGCAAGCAGCATAGTGCACACCTTTATGGCTACTGCCATGGCAAAAAATTAAAAATATATAATGTACTTGCTGCAGCATAGAAAGTTGTCAAATAAAATGTCAGGCCTCAGATAAGGTTAAAACTAAAGGTAGAAGATGTACTGAACTTGATTTTATTTGCCCAATATTTATTAAATATCTTGGTGTAGTGTTTTAATCCAAAAAGTTTAAAATCCAGTTGTGTCCTAGATTGAACTGTCTTCTGTCTCTATCTATTCATTGCTTTTGAATTCTATTTCTGCAGAATAAGAATCAAAGGTTATAGTTTTTCTAAAGATTTATGAAAATATAGTTTCAAGTTTTAATATATACTACCTATCAAGTCAGCATCCAAGTTATGTTCGGTTTCTGTTGCACGTTGTAGTACCGAGAGTCTGATATTTGAGAACTGAAATAACTTAAATTTCTTAATTATTATGGTTGTTCGTTTGCAATAGATACCCAGATGCAGTGTACTAATATTTTGTTTTGTAATCAAAACAAAAAAAGAATTTTTAGATAGGTTTTACTCTTTTTTAATTGTTCAGTAATTGTGATTTCTGCAAGTTAGGTTTGTAAAATGTTAAGCTGAACCCTTACTGATCTTGTAGCCACAGAAGTCTCATCACAAATATTTTACTGGCCATTGAGACCTCCTTTTTTAGTAAAGTACTAAGCTCTTTCATAGTAATGTCTGGTATAGAGAGTGTTCTCCATGACTCCGCCTCGATTGGCTCATGTACTTATCTTTCATATTTCGTGGTCATAAACGTTTCAACATGCATCTCTTTGTTGCTTAAATAATGATAATAATAATAATAATAATAATAAATAACATCTGTATAGTGCATACCCCGCTTGACAGCAAGCCCTATTCGCTTTACACTATATTACTGCCTCAGCAGACCCTATAACACTCAGAAACATTCTCGGCTTCCCAAGAAGCATACATGTAATATATGCAAACTATTGCTTTAGCTGATAATTAGGTGTCTTGTTTAATAAGTTTTGCTCAAGAAGAACAGTCTAGGGTATATATATTATATATATATATATATATATATATATATATAGAGAGAGAGAGAGAGAGAGAGAGAGAGAGAGAGAGAGAGAGAGAGAGAGAGAGAGAGAGAGAGAGAGAGAGAGAGAGAGAGAAAATGCACTCATTACCCTTGCCTCCTGCCCGCAGCACAAACACAAGAGAGTGACCGAGTCCCACCAGTACCCCCACCACACCGGGCTGCTGCCCCGCGTCCCCATGCACCCGGCCACCTTCAATCCGACCTTCCACACCTCCAGCTTCCCGACTTCCTTCAACAAGCTGCCGGGGACCACCACCACACAGTCTCTGCTACCGTCTATCAACAACGCCTACAAACCACACAAGGTGAGCGTTGCCGGAGTGGAGGAGAGTTTGGAGTTAAAGAGCAGAGCATGTGTAGTTACTCCACTGTAGTATTTGCCATCTAGCATAAATAAGAAAGTAAGAAGTTTTCTGAAACTTTAGAAAGATGATGAAGAGATGGGACTATATACATGGAATCAACATATCTAGTGTTGAAGTCCAAGCAGAACCTGACTCTCTCAGACTAAAAACTCAATGGTTATTTTGCTTTCTTACAAATCATTGTTATATTACACATCTCATAAGAACTTGGATAACATTAAAAATGTCAACAAGTATTTGCATTTGTTCATGTTTAATGTTCTCTTAGCTGATCCTTTTCGTCTGTGTTCATACTTTTGAAACATAAAAACGTTTGACAATTTACCCTTTGCCCCTTTCTGCATGCCCAATAGACAGTTTTATTGGATTTTGTTAACTTTTCATTATCAAGCTTCAGTACATTGACATTTTGTATTAAGTAAATCTCACTTCCTGTGATCGAACATGGTCTGAAAAGACTTAATGAGTTAATGAGATTAGGAATTCATATGCTCAAACTTTTCTTTCTGATTAAGTATGCCAATGCAAAAGGAAAAGTGATTAGTGTGCAGTCGGATTTTTTTAACAAGAGCATTAGTACGTTTTTTTTCTTCTCTTCAGTCACCCACCAAAACGACAAAGGCGTTGTACAATCAGTATACGCTTCCTTCCCTTGACCAGAGGAGGTTCTGAATCAAAGAGACATCTGCAAAGGTAGGACCCTTCATTGTGAAGCAGAAAATAATTGTCACTGATCATGGCATTCTTTGCCTCTTTTGTGTTCAATTTGCTCATAAAGTAGAGTAATTTGGTACAAATAATCCATTTTGCCATCTTGCAGTTTTGATTTTTTTTAACTTCTAAAAGACAGTGATATACACATGATATAATGGATCTGACATATATGAGAAGCCTGAAGGTTGCACCGTCTAAATGCATTTGGGATTTCTTGATTTATTGCATATTATTGGATCTATGTAGACCCTTTGTATGTAATTGCATTTGTAATTGTAGAGTTGCAGAGAAATTGGGCCTCCATGACCCATTAAGTTTTCATCATAAATACTTATGTTTTTGTTTTCTGAAATAATTTGAAATATATATTTACAGTTTTGTAAGTCAATATGATGACACCTATCCAGTGTAGTGTTTACTGACATACTAACTGTACAAAATGATTTCTTTTTTTTTTTCAGATCAATCATGAATAAAGATAATTCTAGTGGAACATTGCTAACCTCGCTACAAGGAACTCCTGGAATTGTTTTGAAGTGTAGTTTTGTCTGTAAGGCCAGTTTCAAGTTCTCAATATATGTCTGAGGACTTCACAGGAAACCAATATTAAATTTGAAAGAAAGTTTATATGTTCAATTCTGGTGATAAAATTATGTCTGTGGAAAAAACACAAAATAGTTGACGCATAAGAAAAAATATAGAAAGTACAAAAGTTCCAATGTTGCTAACAGTTACCAGAATGTACTCGGACATTTCTTCCATAAATTAAATGAGCTTACTGTTTTGTTGTCTTTGTTGTTGTTTTTGTTTGGTTTCATTTTAATGCACATTGCAAGCGAGTATTGACATAAGAAGTGCTCCACGTTGCTTTAATTTGTTGACAGTAACACACATATATTCTGGCTAAAGTATTGTGATATCTAAGAGTGTGTGTGATAAATAATGCGGCAACTGCATGTACAGAAGGTTTGAGTGGTTGGTTGAAATGATGATAAATGGTAATTAAAATGATAATTTTTGTGAGTAGTTTTGCATCTGGCTGTTTGGTTTTGTAAGGAAAAAGTTTGGTTGCGCTTGTGTACTTTCATGTGTTATTGCTCTTGTGAGTTCTGGATCTGTTGATTGTTCTCTGTATTTTATTCTTGTGGCCTTTGAGTGAATGGGATGTCCAGTGACCCTTTGAGCAGATGCACTTTGTGTATATTATGGTGAATATATAACACTTTTGTTTAAGTCTTCATTAAATACTTATTTCCATCACTTTTTTTTCTTTTCCATGCACTCAAGTAGTAAATAAGTCTTTTATATTTTGATTTTTTCTGACATTTCAAGCACAAGAGAAATCTTACTGAATATTCCAACTTTGAAAAAGATAACAAGAAAACCGAATATTCCAACTCTGTATGAGAAAAACAGAAGCTCATCAAAACTGTTGGCTATCGGTTCCACATATTACGAAGAAAGTGTTTTGTAATGTAGAATGGAGATCTTCACCAAATATTGACCAACTAATTATGTAGTGTCTACCGTTGCTTGTTTTGTCTGAACTCTCAACATATGAATTTATACGATTCAAGATATCCATGCTCAATGACATGACACTTGTATTACTTCCTATTAGTATTCACTGAGATATTGTGCTGAACACAATCATGCTCATGATAGTCTTAGTTTTTATTAGGGAAATGGAAATCATTGTAGCCAAAAACTCCTTGAATATAAAGGAATTTTAAAGAAGAGTAAAAAGGAACGGGTTAATACATATGTATGCTTTATGTTAGTAATCAGGGCTTCCATTTATATCTGTGTGGTTGATTAGCCATATGAAAGTTCACTTCAGTATAGATGGATGCAGGAATTTTTCTTTGGGAAATGCATCATTGTCCTCTCAAGTTGACTTCAGAAATTATTGGTGTTATGAGATAAGTTTAGCTTCTCTTGTGTCCCGTGAAATGGGTCAGTGCTATCTACATAATTCTACCTATGAACATATTCATCTAAAACAAAAAACGAGGCGAGTCCCTGTATATCAATTTCATGTGTTATTTTTTCAACTTTTATAAGAACATGAGCATATCTGCCATGATCTTGAGCTGTCTCAAGTATTATAATTGATTACATGTGAATCCACTTACGTGAGAAAAATTCATAGTTTGTGTTTGTCGTATTGGCAGAATCGCAGCCAATGACGGTAAGCCGTTAAATGCCCCCATCTGCTAAGAAGAATTACTGTCTTTGCTTTTTATTTGCACCTGTTTCTCAGCATTGGGGGTGGGGTGAGGGGCGTCAGTCTTTACATGCCAGCTCATTTTCAGTACAATTTTACTCCTGCCTGTACGAGGCATGATTCAGGGAGGTACTGTACATTGTTGTTAGCCGATCCAGCATGTTATCATCTTACATCCTGCTTGAAATATATGAGGGATGTTAAGGATACGGAACCAGCACTTAGGAAATTTACCAAGAAAAAGGGAAGATGCGCATTTTAAAAAAAAATAGAAGTCATGTTTGGTCAAAGGGTGGAAAGCAAACTTTGAAAACAATTGCTATATTCTCATTTTCAAGACGAAATGAATGCAACTATTAAATCCCTTTCTAATTTGTCTACCTCCTGCCTTGTTAAATTAAGAAGAAAGTGTTCTTTTCATGTACTTCTAAGTATTTGAGGTGAACACATATATCTTTTAAGTACTTATTTAAAAATGTTGTCCCTCATTCAGCTATGTTTCTCAGTTGTTGTTTTTTTAATTAAGTCTCTCTCTCTCTCTCTCTTCCTCTCTCTTCCTCTCTCTCTGTCTCTGTCTCTGTCTCTCTCTCTCTCTCTCTCTCTCTCTCTCTCTCTCTCTCTCTCTCTCTCTACTTTAATCCATTAAAATGCTACACATTTCAACTTTTTCTCCAAGGCATATTTTTATTTTCAAAACAGTTTGCTGTAATTCATACAGCTTCATGGAAGTGACAGATAATGACTGCTTCTCGGTGAATGCTTATTCCATTTCTGATTTTGGTTTCTTTATCTCTTTTCACCCTTTTTATTCTTGTTTTGTTTCTCATATATATGATGAAAGGGAACTGGTGAAAGCAAAAGAAAATTTGTAACATGAGTATGCATTGTTCTAGCTACGTTTGGAATCATATAGAAATGTATAGAATTGTTTGTTTATGGAGTATACTTTGAGAAATAAATAGAGTCATCAAACTGGTGTGTTTTGTGGTTTTCTTTTTGTTACTGTCATTTATTTTCCAGTAGATATTTTGTGTTTAAGACTGAATGTACGATCTTTGTAAATTGCTCTTATCAATTGAATAACAATTTGTTTTGCAAAGGAGGCTTAAGTCATTCACTTTTATGTAAGTCTACAGATATATTACTTTAGGTCTTCTTTCTTTCCAGGTTCCTGTTTTCTGTCTTACCTTTTTACAGAGTATTTTTTATTATCATTTTGGTGGGATTTTGTGAGGTAAATAGCCATCCTCTCTTGTTTAAAGAGTGATTTTGACCAAATGTGGTCCATTTAGTTACATTTGTAACTAAAGCAGGTTTTTGATTTGGTTCTAAATTAGATCAAGTTCTTATCAGTTGAAAGGCAATAGATGGTATGTTAAAGCATGAAAACCCAAGTGAACTTCCCCAGGGATAAACGTGACAATTTTTTTAATGTTTGGTTTTAAACAGACAACAAAGAGATGATGAAGAAATAAGAGAGCTGCACTATATATTGGTGATACTCTCCACTCATCTAAAATTTTCAAAGATTTTTTATTTAAAAATTGTTTTTGGTTGCGGTTGCAAATGCATAAGGTCATATGAGCACGCAGGACACATAAACATTTTCATTTTGGCAGGAATTTATTAAAAATTTTGCATGGGTGGTGGTCAGAGCCTACTCTTCTCGATTTTACTACTACCATGGGATCTCTAACATGCGCAACTTGCACACGGGACCTCCAAAATTTTTTGACCCCTTATCCGAGAAGGCTGGGTGTTTGATCTCACTTTCTCACTTACCGTATGATCAGGGATGTGCAGGCTGAAGTAACTGTAAGAGGATCCAAGGAGTAGCAATAGAAAGGCAGAAGAATAAATCAGGAGCTCAGAGGAGGGGGCAAAAGGGATGGAGTAGGGAGGCAGAAAGTGGAGACGAAAGTAGACAACAGAACATGACTAAAGAGCAGGAAAGTGGGTGAAACGAGAACATTTTTTTACAGAAGAAAATTCTTCATCAATATCAGAATGCAAATGTTGGACATATTGAATGAGAGGCAAACATCATATCCCTAAACCACCAGAGCCCACTGTTTAAAGCTTATGATATGCATGACAAAATGAAAAGTGTATTATAATACGAATTACATAAACGTCACAGGAATTTCTCCATTAAAACGTTTCGTAGACAATCGTTCAGCATCTTATATAAACTGTCGCTCGAAAATTTTTGTGTTAACAGAATTTTTTTTAAATAGTAGTTGTTTTTACGCTCCTGTCAGGGTAGACCCAGCCAGGCTGAGAAGGATAACATTCCACAAAATTTCCAAGACACTCGATAAAAATTCTCAGCGCCTGGGAACTGAGCTCAGACCTCCTGCAAGCAACAGGGAAGTGCCGAACCGCTACATCAAAGGCCCCAATTGTTACAGAATGAGCACATGCAAAAGAACACACAATAAAAGTAACAACAAACAAGTCGTAAGTAGTCTTCAAGTTTTAATCAACATGTTGCATATTTGTTTATATTTCTTTCCATACATGCACTTCAAGTTCACCATAAGATGACTGTATAAAATATATAGACATACAAGCTGAAAGGAGAACTGCAGATGTTCAACAGTTCATCCGTGCAAGCTTCGAAATACAGCATTCACAATGATAATATACAAAAGTTTATGGCATTCACTCGAGAAAGAATAAATGGATGAAGAATGTGAATGTCTTGTATTTTACTACTCACTTAGTAGTGCCTTTTCCTTCAGAGTAACTTTTTTCAGAGAAAGTCGAACTGAATTACCCATATCCCATGCCTACACCTCTATCACTTTCACAATAATAGTCAGTGAATAAGTTGTAAATCAATAAAAGGTCTTTTCATTTGTTAACGGTACAAACACTTTATTTCATAACTCCAATTCATTGACCGTTTGGAAAAAAAACCCTTACAAACAATTAATAAAGAACAGAGAAATCATGATAATAAAAGGTCCAAAGACCTTGCAGATCCCATCCACTTCTGAAAGTTTGTTTTTAATAATACCGGAGATTTTTTTTAGCAAGCAACTCTTGTAATTTTAAATTGATGACACACACACAGGTAAGACGTAAACATCTGTGTGTTTAATCAAACATTACAAGCCTGTCTTTCAATATATTACGCGATTGTTTTCTTTTCATTTAGGAGATTTAACAGTAAAAGAAATAAGCTAACAATGTATTGATGGGGCAGAAAAAGTAAATATCCTCATAATGTAAAAGATATGTAGGATATGGTTGGCCTATACATTAATAAATTATGGTGTATTCCTGTCTCTAGATTATCCTGTTTGATATCCGTAAAGTGTTGACGGTACAAATGAATCTAACTCGAAATAATAAAAAATATCTGTTCGGCTGAATATATCGGGTGTAAGCAGAAGAAAAATACCTAGTTCAAACGTGGCATTGGGAAGTAAGAAACCAGCAAACTAAAAAAAAAAAATATCCAGCAGTCTTGTGTTGATAAAAAAGTTTATGTGAACAGGTTTCAGCTTAAATTTTATTATTCAGCATAAGGTGATTAATGCAAAGGAATCTGTATCATCTGTGTACATCAACAACTCAAGGAGGAAATTTCTCATAAATTGTTTCACAAGATAGTTTTCTTTTAGGGGTAAAAGTGTAAAAATATCACAGCCATTGCAATGCATAATACTTGCTCTAAAGGTTTCAAAAATGCTGGTACGACTTCTTTTTTTTTTCATTTCAAACATATTTTATGTGTGTAAATGTCTCAAAAGTAAAAGAAAAAAAAGAATTACAAGCATCATTGTCAGTTTCCATTAAAAATGGTTACCTCATTCAAAAAGCTAATTTATGATGAATTACCCTTCGAAGTATTACCAATAGTATGTAAGCATATTGTTAAGGATTTAGTGGTCATCTAATGACAATGCTTGGAGCTCAGACTCTAAACGTGTTAAATATTTCATATTCTTTTATTACATGTGAAGCGTGTATTTTCTGCACTCCATGACACTCATCAATATTTTGTTTCTGTTTGAAAAAAGAGGGGATATGTACAACAGAGAAGGAATCGGACATGAACTGCCAGAAGGAACACTAGCACTTGAAAACATCAGGGATTACAAAAACAATACTATGTTTTCCTGTGAAGTGATTTTCATCCAAATTAAATTTTTCTTATGAAAGAAACATTTTTTTTACCTCATGATTGAAATTTCAAACACATAATATCTTGAATTTATTTTCAATTTTTTTATCTCACCATATTGCTTCATCTGTTAGACTGCAGCATAAGTATGTTTCAAACATACATGTAATAACATTTTCATTTTTAACTAGGATTTGATTGATCTCTTTGATAATAAAAAATGTATTTTGATTATCAAAAGTATTGTAAAGATACAGGAGGTTCACTAAAGCCATTAAGCCCTGTAAATATTCTTTATCATCTATAATTTTCACAAATTAATTCCTGGGGAAACAACAGAGCTATGATATCTGACATTTAATACTCAAATCCTTTTATAACACCAACACAACAAATGCTGTGCTTTATAAGGAGCTGTAATGAAAAATAATAATTTTCTCAAGCTTAAAATTTAAAATAGGATTGAACATGACTCATTTTGAAACTTATTCTTCTTCCTCCTTCTCAAACAGTTCGACTTTTTTGGTTACATTTTTCTGGAAAGGCATTTCAAAATCAGGGAAGTCCACCTCCCAGCCAAAGCGCTCCCGTTTGACTTCTTTGTCTTGCAGTAGCTCCTTTGTTGTGGACTGTTCTGTCCACATTTTCTTCGGTGTGTACGTGATGTCTTCCTGCTCATCCAGGCCTCCAGCCAGGGCCGACGCAGCCCGCAAGATGGAGCCTTTTCTTGGAAGGGGCACTGAGTCTTCTTCTGGTAGTTTAACAACCTGTAGTGGACAAACATATGCCGGATATGAACTATAGAACAAAATTAATCCTCAAAATCCTCCAAAAAGTTTCCCTTTTCCATTCCACATATCACATTAGATAGGTTTTTAGCCTGGAATGAGTCAACGGAGGAACAATAATCAGAACAGGTCCATGTCCACACAATGTTTAAGTACAATAAAATACATTTCCCGTTCTTTCAAAATCCCATACTGCCTAAAAACAAAAGAAAGCAAAATACTTATCATGTAATGTCAGGAGAAAAAATAAACATTCATAAATATTTGTTCATAAAAAAGGAAACATTTTTGCCAGGTGAAAGCTGGACGGAATGCATAATTAGAAGAATCTATAGGGCCTTCTGCTGTTTTATTGCCCCATCTGAAAGGACAGAACATCCTGCCCATTGTTTACAATAGCATCAGCCTGAAAACAATTAGTTGCTTTTTCAATTCTTGAGAAAAATTTTTAACATCATACATCATTTTGTAAAATGCACAACCATTTCAAATGAGCCCATGTACATTTTTTTTGCCTCTGCACTTCCATCCTCATATTCTGTTTTCAAACTGTGTCAGCTTCAAATATTTGAAGCTTCCTCAATTCATGAAAAAGGCAAAATAGAAACAAATGTTTTAGACACTTTGAAAATTATTCTTCTTCACAAATCAGAAGCATTATCTTCACTAAAACGTTTATAAAGCAACAAACCTGAGGAGCTTCTTCTTTATCTCCAGCCGCTGTCTGCGGACGTTTCTTCTTAGTGTCTTTCTTTTTTCCTCCTTTTTTGTCCTTAGGGACAGGAAGGGATTCCCATTTCGCCTGGACGACTTCAAACACTCTCGGGTCTGCCCACGAGTATGCCAGGTCCATTGGATTGAGTCCTACAGATATGAAAATCAAGACAATGCAAATGAGAGCAACTTCAACAACAGTGTTTGTTTTGGGGGGGTTTTTCTCTACCTGAAAACTGACCTAATTTCAGAAGAGAAAAATGTCGAGATGACCTCCCACAGAAATCAAGAGCACCCACCAACCATCCATGTAATTACTGTTATTTACTACAGAACTGTCACTTAATTTTTTAACTTCAGCCATTCTGACTTTACAAAGAAATACCAAAACATGCTACGAACTATAGGGCAAATAACCAACTTGAGTCCTGCATGCTCATATGTCCATATTATATGCAGTTGCAGACATGGCATAACTTTTACCAAACTGAAACGAAGTTGGAATAAATAATAAATACCCTTTTTGCTCTACATCCGGACTTAACATCTATTTTTCACTCAGTATTGAATGATGGTGCCTCTTGAACTTTCAACACTGTAGCATTTTTGCACATTGTCACCAGATACAATAAGTATACAACGTTAACTTGCAGTTACTAGAGCTGGATCCTGCTCGCCAAATCTGAGAGTGGCGATTCGCGAATCAGTTGGCTTCAAAGAATCACGAGTTTGCGAGCGCTCGGGGAACACTATGCCTCGGGCTTGTTGTAAACGTGAAACGGAATAGTGTCATATCAACGCCACTTCGCGAGTCCCACTCCTGCTGCCCCGCTATCCCCTCCGCCCCCCACCCTTCGTTGCGCTGCTCTACTGACCTCAATTAGTGACTCCATAAATTCACCCCCCCTCCCCAAGATTCACTAAAACAATGGCTCTATAAAATTCCTTCTATCTATTGGTTGGAACCTGTTCATATTGTTTTAATAGAGGGGTTGGACTATACCATCTTTTGTAAAATAGGGGGAGCCATACTAAGTGTTCTGTTCCGTTCTTGCGCTCGCGACTCGACTCGTGACCCAGCAGTCCAAGTCCAGCAGTAGGTTACAAACAATGGTTTATATCTATGAAAACAAGCCGCAATGTGGTGACAGCCACAGGGGAGTGAATCGGAAGGCGATACTGTTCCGCGTTCCGTTGAAGTAAATCGCGAAACGCGTTCGCAGGGAAGAGTGGCAATTCAGTTCTGTTCTCGCGCCCACGACCCAGCTCTAGCAGTTACAGCTGTCTTTTCAATACGTTTAGTATTAATCATACACACCCTTCTTGTTCTCCGTTTGCATTTTGCATCCACTGTCCATAAGGTACTGGACGACGGTATCCCTCGAGCTTTCAATAGCTCGGGTGAGCGGTGTGCCACCATTGATGGTGGAGGCGTCAATCTCCGCCCCGTTCTCCACCAGCAACTGTACAACATCCAGCTGTCCGGCGTGACAAGCGTGGTGCAGGGGCGTCCACTTGAAATTGTCCCTCGCATTAATGGCAGCACTGTAAAAAACATACAGTTGTATTACTGTATTACTTACTGTCAGATATACTTTTCTCTTCATAATGAAATTCTTTTATGAAGGAACTATACAATTTAAAATCTATATGCGTCATATGTACATGTGTTTCTACCATTCTTATAGGGCCACAGAAAATTTCCCTCACAGACCATCATCAAGTGCCATATCTGCAGCAGACATCAGCGATCATGGTTCTCCATTTATTCCTTTGTTCGGATGCTCCTAAAAAAGCTACTTTAATCTTATCTTTATCTGTTACCCATCTGCTTAGGTTTTCTAAATATTATCTTATCTTATCACCCTGATAATTTGAACTTCACAAGACCAGATAATGTCTTTGTATTAAGTAATAATAATAAATAGCATTTGTATAGCGCATATCCCCGCTCAACAGCAGGCTCTATGCGCTTTACACTATATTATAACCCCAGCAGACCATAGAACACTCCGAAACATTCTCAGCTTCCGCGGAAGCATACAGTGCAAGCTGCGAATTTCACGCGCTCAAACACTATCAAACTGACAAGATCTTTCTCTGTCTATAGCTGGGTACCCATTTCCACCTGGGTGAAGTGAGGAAAATTTGTGCAAAGTGCCTTTCCCAAGGACACAACGTCGGGCCCCTGACGGGATTCGAACCCATGACCTTACGGTTGCGAGTCCGAGAGCCTAACCACTAGGCCACCGACGCCACAGATTTCATCTTAAGCAGAGTGCTTATGAAAAGAATAAAAAGAAGGGTGATTCCTTTCTTACTGTTCAGATAAGACGCTGGGCCTTTAGTGGTCTATTTTTAGTCATTAATAACACATGCTAAGCTACCAACTTTCGGAAACTGAAAAAAAAGAAAGCTTTATTTTCAGTCTCAAGGGCATTCTATGAGATAAAATATTAGATACATCTCTTCAACATAAGCCGGAAACTATTAATTTCATTTTCAAGGCAGACAGTTTGGTTTTTATTAATCATCAACTCATCATGGGCTGCATTCATTATTAATTTCTGGGTCGATTAGCTGACTGGATCTGGCCCGCAGGTCGCAGTTTGCCCGTCCTTGTCAAGAGAACAACTCACTCCTAATCGTCTCTAATGATAAGAACTAAAAACTGAAGCTTTTTAGTCCAAATAGACATCCAAAAGGTTAAAAACCTAATTTTCTCTTTAGAAAGTGGCTTATATATAGCACTCAAGAATTTCATAAGATGCTTACTTATAATTACTTATAGAAATGTTCTTTTTTCAAAAGCCATCTCCATTTGAAAGCATACTGTTTTCTCCCTATCTGCAAGATAAGGTATATAGGCCGAGCCGTTGAAATAAATTTACTGGTCATGAGTCTGATATGGTAACATATTTTGACTTGTGGGATTTTTCACTTTATTGTCAATGCTCCTCTTTCCTTTTTAGATTGGGAGTTTCACCACTTGCTTCTCTCCAAGCTACGGGGAAACGAACAAACACACAGACACCTCTATTTTTCTATTACAGTAAATTCCAATAATAATAATAATAATGAAGATCATTTCTATAGCACCCACTCTCGTGTAAACACAGCTCTAGACGCTTTACATAAATGCATGTACGAACAATATTCACGCACCCGACACACACATGCACACACACACACTCATACACACACACAAACACACACACACACACACACACACACACACTCATGCACACTTGTGCACACACATGTAAAACAAACACACACACACACACACACACACACACACACACACACACACACACACACACATACACGTACACAGGCACACACACACACATACACACACACACACATCTACTTGCTTATCACATGCGCACGCTTACACATCGTCACGAAATGAGCACATATATAATAAAATGATATACACAATGCAATTCACAAAATACATAAATGGATACATAGTCATTTACACAACATTGTACAGAACATGAATCTACTAACATAAAAATGATGTCATTAAATGTGTCTTCAAAGATTTTTTAAATTTAGACTCAGATGTTGTATGTCTCAAGGGTTGGGAAAGAGAGCTCCAGACTGATGGAGCAAGGTGGGCAAACGATCTTTCAGCTAATTTTGTACCCCCTTTTCTAGGAACTCTTAAAAGATACTGATCTCCTGATCTTAGCGATCTAGATGGAACATAAATCTGGATGAGATCACTAAGATATGAGGGAGCTTTGTTATTGACACATTTATGACATAATATTGCAATTTTATATGACATTCTAGCTGACACGGGAAGCCAATGCAACGTTCTTAAAATGGGAGTAATGTGGTCCCTCTTCTTTTTCTTTAGTACAAGCCTAGCAGCATGATTTTGAAAACGTTGTAACTTGTGAAGAGTGGTATTTGGTAAGTTAGCTAGTACAGCATTGCAATAATCGATGCGTGAGAACAAGAACGATGACACAAGCGTTTTCAACGAGTGTTCATTCAAAAATATAGACATATGACCAATTCTACGCAATTCACAAAATAAGATGGTACATAAATCATTGATGTAATGTTCCATTGACAATTTTGAATCAAAGTACACTCCCAGATTTTTTGCTTTATCAGTAAAATACAGTTTTTCATTTTCAGTACAAATATGATCAATGTCTTCGGGGATATCGTTTTTTGGGGGGTTACATAAAAGAATTTCAGTTTTATTTTCATTAAGCTGGAGCATATTATCAATCATTCACTTTTTGACATCATCGATGCACAGATCCATGGTGGTAAGCAAGGTTTTAACATCTGATGGTGAACAGATTTATATAACTGTGTATCGTCTGAGTACATGTGATAATTCGTATTGTGCTTTCCGATCACAGCTCCAATTGGCTGTGTATATGATGTATACAAGATTGGACCCAATACTGAACTTTGAGGCACTCCAAAATCTAGTTTAAAAATTGACGAAAGAGAGTTGTGCACAACCACAGATTGTGTACAGCCAATCAGGTAGGACCTGAACCAGTCAAGAACCCTGCCAGACAGGTCAAACGTGTTGAACAATCGTTCAATAAGAATAGAGTGATCTATAGTGTCAAAGGCAGCACTAAGATCAAGAAGAGAAAGAACGGATGTTTTGTTCTCATCCGCCTCACACAAGAGGCCGTTATATATTTTCAATAGCGCAGTTTCTGTGTTATGAAATTGCCGATAGGCAGATTGATATAATTCATATAAATTGTTTTCTTTTAAATGATTCTTCAATTGAACCAAAGCAACTTTCTCCATGAATTTTGATAAAAAGGGAAGGTTGGAGACAGGTCTTAAATTCTTGAGGTCCTTCAGGGAAAGATTTGATTTTTTGAGAAGGGGAATAACTAAAGAATGCTTAAAGAGTGATGGTACTACTCCAGACTGAAGAGACTCATTAATGATGGAAGTTATAAATCCAATGACACTATCAAGATGTGTGATGAGCTGTGGTGTTGGAATGGGATCAAGACAACATGTTTTATCTTTTCAAAATCCAAACGACACTCACCCTTTCTCCAATAGGAATTTGACAACATCGAGGTTGCCTACAGCGCAGGCTGTCATAAGGGGTGTCTTGTAGTATTTGTCTCGAGTGTCCACCGGAACACCCTGAGCAAAGGAATCCTTCATGGAGTCAAAGTCTCGATTTTTGGCCGCTTCATTTACATTGATGTAAGTCTTTGCTGGGGCTTGCAGGTACCAAGCTGAAATGAAAATCAGAGAAAATATTAAGCTCAACAAATTTGTCTATTTTCATTGCAAAACACAGTTCTTTTGTTTATGGAACTAGAAAGACACCAAAATAAAGGGAGAAGGGAGGAGTGATTTTGAAAAGAATTGCTCTCAAAGATATCAAGCAAAGAAATTTATCAACCAGCAAAAGGACAGTGGTGGTGGGTGGACCAAATTTTGGGCGGGGCTTAGGTTGCTTTCACTTCTTTACCATCAAATAGGTGGCAATAAGAACTAAACAGTGATGGTTTTTCTATACTCACGCCGAGCTACGGCATTTTGAGAACCATTCAAACAAGAAGAGTCACCCTTGTCTTCCTTCTCTTTGTTCTACATTAAATACTTCTGGATGCTGGGGACGAAACCGTTTCACGTCCAAACTTCTCTAATTAATTTTCATCTAATGAAAAAGTTGCCTGAAAAGTTGTTTGATGTAATTAATAACTGTTAAATCTCAGCGGCACACACGCAAACATGCATACACAGCACTCCACGAACTTGATTAGGCTGTGTAGTCGAGGAAAGTAGACTGCACCTAACAAAGGTTCAATGGGAGCGTAGGTAACTGTGTCACTGGGGGAAAGTGTGTCGTAAACTTTCACCCCATTGTCAGGGCTAGGACAACGTGAGCCCTCTGTACAGTGTTATTTTTTTCGAGTCTTCTACCTTTTTACAAGAAGAGTTTCATTAACAAGGGGCCGTGGGAACGGGCTCCTCCTTTGTTGAGCCCTAAAGACATTTGATAGGCTGTTAGGTTACTACAGTTGTAAGCGGTGGCAACAGTGATTGAATAAACGAGCAAGCCGCCAAGTTGATCACTCTGTGTTCATTGCATGCGATCATAACAGTTTCAACTGCTTATTTCATTATTTTCATTTGCTTTGGGATAGACTTGGGGGGGTGGGGGGGGAGTGTCAAGCCTGTGAGCCCTTCATTACTGACCGTCACTGCAAAAGGAATGTTCTGGTAAATCATTGGTCTAGTTGGAAAGGAAAAGAACCGAGACACAAAATAAATGGATACTTTACCTGAGTCATCTTGCAATGGGTGAACCGGAGGGATATCTCTGTCAAACCGACCAGTGTCTGTGAAGTGTATGTGGCGAGGTATGTACATTTCTGGAGGAGCGCCGCCAAACGTGCGTGGACCTTCATCTTGTATGCAGATTGGCATGACAAGCTTGAATTTGCCTTTCTTTCCCCCTTTCTTCCCCTTCTTCTTTTTCTTTTTCTTTCCTTCAAATGCTGATGCTAAATAATTTTTATTCACCCATTTCTTTGCTGTAAAGAAATCGTTGTAATCTAATTTTCCTTCTCTGCTCTTGTCTTGAAGAGCAATAACTTTCTTCACCTCATCTTCATCTGTAGGGCACTGTAATGATGTCAAAACATCAATAAACTCATTATTTCCTATCTTCCCAACAGCATCTACATCTATAGCTTTGACTGCAGTTAAAATTTTTTCTTGTCTAGCCAGAGCCCAGTCATACAGCTGAAGAATCCACGGGTCATTATTTTTCCCTGATTTCCCAAAAGTCTTCTCTGCCTTCCTAATCTCTTTGCCAGCCTCTTTATGGCCAGCCTCTTTTGCCATGACCTTTGCAGTATTTCCTTGATTGTTCTTTGGTTTGGGATTGCATCCTGAAAAAGAAAAAAGTACATTGAATTGCAAATACAGAATTATATTCATTCCACTCTAAATTCTTAAAGATTTTTTTTTTAATGTCCATCACACATGAATATGAGCCATCTCATCTTTCATTACTATAACCCTATCGTGCCAAAACATGTCTGCTGGGACATTTCAGTAACCCATGTTCAGCACTTTTCAAGGACGCCCCAGCAAGTATTGAGGTCCTGCTTGCTGTCGGATTCGCTGACAACTTATGACGCCAGAGAGAGAGAGAGAGAGAGAGAGAGAGAGAGAGAGAGAGAGAGAGAGAGAGAGAGAGTGAGACAGACAGACAGACAGAGAGACAGACAGACAGAGAGAGAGAGACAGAGATAGACAGAGATAGAGACAGAGAGAGAGAGACAGAGACAGACAGAGACAGAGACAGACAGAGACAGAGACAGGGAGGGAGGGAGGGAGAGAGAGAGAGAGAGAGAGAGAGAGAGAGAGAGAGAGAGAGAGAGAGAGATTACTATCACCCTTGAAAAGCACTGACCTTGATGATAACTATATAATAAGAGGGTTGCCAATGCAGTAAAAAAAGAAATCTACTATTTCATTTACCACTTCTGTTGATATTTCAAAATGTTTTTGTTTTCATTTTAGAGTGTCAAGCTGGACGGATCATTGATATATGTATAAAACTTATCAAAAGTAATCGTATTGTTTTAAAGTTTTCTATCCATCTTTTTTCTACCTCCAAATAAGAGAAGAAAAACTCAGACCGAAAGGATCTATTATACTATCATTTAGAGTGCGCCGTAAAGCTTTCATTAATGAAATATAATACAACGGAAGGCATAGTGTATAAAAAACAGTCCATTACTACATCAATAACAAGCAAAGCCTTTGTTGTGGAATTTACTGTACCTCTCTGGGACAGGAACTTGATGCACATTGCTTGGCCCTTCTGGGCCGCCAAGTGTACAGGGTTGTTGCCTTCACTGTTCACAACATTGAAGTCTGCATTGTTTCCTGCCATTGCCATGATAGCTTGCAGGTGGCCTCCCAAAGCTGCAAAATGAGCTGCGTGACATTTCTTCACATCCACATCATTCACTCTAGCTCCAGCATCAAGCAAAGCAGCAACAACTTTATTTCCTCCACTTGATGCCGCTGCCATCAGTGCAGTTCGACCAGATTTCTGAAAGAATGAAACACCAAAAAAAAACGAACAAAATGAATAGATTTTCATCTTATAAAATGTTGTACATACCCATATGATCGGGTATAAAAGAATTTTCTTTCTCCATTCTGTGACAGGTGACGGGACAAGATCAAAGAATAGAGTCAATACCAGAACAGCCTCACAGGTGTTAATTCATTGTTCAGCTTTGGGAAAACATTTGTTGTTGCATCAATTATTACATAAATATAAACCCACACAGAACATCCTTATGTCAGAAACACCAGTGTCCTTACACAAGTATAATAGAAGGGTGTGCTGGGTAAGAGACATGAAAACCCATCCTTTTGCTTAACAAAATATTTTGTAAAAGTTAATAGTTTGCCCAAGCCATATTGATATATCCATTTAATTGAACTGAAAAAAGTTGAAAATTACTGCTCCCTATGAAGTGTTCACACAAACTTACAACTCAAAAATGTAAAACTATATAGGCCTATGTATTTTATTAAAGAAAACAGATGGATATTCATTTTGATGTCATGAACATAAAGCAGTCCATGCAGACAGACTCTATAGCAGAATAATGCTGGTGGGGAAAAAAAACACTCTCGGTTAACTCAAAACCTGTCAACTTTGTCCTCCTGCCAAGCCAGTCTGGACTACCTAATATATAATGCATAATGGCTTTTCAAATATACAAGCTAAATAAGAACTGGTCTGGAAACAGCTGTGCATAAGATCTGAAAACAAACCAAAAAATTATTATGTCATCAATGTTTTTACCTCCTGTTTGCTGTTTGGTTCTGCTCCACGCTTCAATAATTCAAGGCAAAGCTTTTCGTTCTCTTCAGCAAGATCGCAAGCCACAACAAACACTGGATTCCCCTCTTTGTCAATGTTGTTCACATTTGCCCCATGATCAAGAATAAGCTCCAAACATTTCTCATGACGATGTGTTGGGGTCATGCAGAAGAATATAATACCTGTAATGTGAACAACATTGTCTTATTCATTACGGTGAAGTTTTTATTTATTTTAAGAAAAAGGAAAAATAGGCCTAACCAAAGGAAAAGTTCAATTAGAACAAACGCATTTATCTTGAGGATGTCAACTGAATGCACATCAACGTGAGTATGCAGCACAATGCCTTTCATGAAATACAGGCTATTTAAGTTTCTTTTTTTTCTAGAAGACATAAATATGTTTCATCCTTTTTTTTTTCTTTTTTGCACCATTAGCTATAAAAACAGAAATATGTGCTGCCCAAAATAATACTGCCCCCCCCCCCCCCCTCCCTGAAAAAAACCCACCAGAAAACTATTTTTTTTCAAAACAGCAAAAGAAAACAGGGTACTAGAATGCGCAGTTCTGTCACAGGTTATGCAAGCTTTGTAATTTTGTTTCTCCATTGATGTTTTTTACATGGCTACTGAAATTTTGAAATATTAAATTTTGTATTTACAAAAGCATTCTGATCAGTGATTCATACCAGCCAGCAATTGCATCTGATTTCTCTATTTTACTTAGACAGAGGAACAGCTTTACATGATAAGTTAGGTACCTCACAGAGAAACAGTAACCATACCTTTTCCTTCAAGATCTGTGAGTGTCATGTTAGCTCCAGCTGCAAGGAGCTTCTCAAGGCACTGCACATTTCCAAATTCTGTAGCCCACATTGCAGCTGTGCGGCCTTTCAGATCCATGACATCAGGATGGGCACCAAGCCCTAAAAGAAATTCTGTCATGTCATCATCGTTAGCTTTAGCTGCTACAATGAGAGCGGTCAAGCCTTCATCTGCATCATTGTAATTGATCAAATGAGGAGTGCCATTCATGGTCAGCTTCTCGATTTGATCTTTGCTCTTCTCCCTCACACATTGCAAGAGTTTGCATACCTGCAAAATCTGCAGTCGAGTCTGTGCTTTTGGCATTGTGGTAGATTTTATAGGGCTTTTTAAACACTTACGAGAGATGTAAATAAATTAGATGACCATTCACACTTCGTATAAAATCGAAAGTCAAATGAACGAAGCCCTGTTCATATAGATCTAGTCACATCCTCACTCGATGACAGTTGCCTGTTCGAAGACTTTTCAGACACATTATTGACGACCACAGATATGAAGTTTTTCACACAACACAAACATTTGGTGAGGAGGACTAAAATTTATGGAGTTTGGCTACATACTTGAGCACAACTAAAACAAAACACGGCTCTAGTGTTTTTCATGGCGTCCTACTCCATATTGTCGCCACTAATCGTGACCAAGGAAACAGCCAATCCGCGCAAGCGCGATCCATGTTTAGCGCCTGAGAAACATGGATCAGACAGGAGGTGTCTAACCTTTCATTAATTATTTACCACTTTGACAAATGGCTCGCGTGCGTGTGGTTCGTCTCTCGGCAAGAGGCGGTTAGTTAGCTGTTGAGCGTGAAAGTGAGAATCAACTCTAAAATTAAAGATCGGTTTTTGAAATACATTATTCAAAGGTATAGAAACCCAAGAGAGTTATTTTTTAAAAGGCATTTCGTCTCGATATAAAGAATCGAAAGATTTAAATCAAGTGTTTAGTGAGTGGGGCACAGAATTTTACACTTAGTGTAGAATTCTGTGGAGTGGGGTGACTTTTTAATTTTGCCTTTTTCCCCGAAGGGCTTGCAAGGGCGCTTATTGTTTTTGTTTTGTTGTAAAGAAATGAGGCCCTATGGCAAGTAATAAAAACAAATAATGACACTTATTTTTTGGTATAATCTCGATAGAGTAGTAGGACGATATCGTACAAAGGTTAAAGTAACGAGTAACAGGAAAACAAATCTACCAGCCTGCATGTAGATCTATTGCTGAATATCAAATCATTGCGAATCGGCTTTCCGATAATATGTTTTTTTTTAAGAACAGTCGTCCGGGTTGGGAGGGGGGGGGGGGGACTACTGACAGTCAACATCTCGTCAAAGTTGCACAGCTGCCCAGTGGTTTTTGTTAATTGTTGTTGTTTTTATTAATCTCGAAAAAAGATAGGTGAAAAAAAAATTGAGAATTATAAAATTCTGTCAAGTTAATGTTTCCCTCCCCATTGCCATCAACACAAGTAAGATCGTGCTGTTTTTAAAAGTCCGTCTGCAAAAGTCAACCCCGGCTATGAGGTACGGTAACTAATAATGTTATTACATTCTAGCAGAAAGATGGATGTGTCTCTTTTTTTTTTAAGTAAAAAAAAAATTTAATCAGGACTGGAGGCTCGAGTCCCACTGACGGTCCTGTTTGTTAAATTGCTACAGTTACTAACTGTAGCAATTTTTACAGTTACAGTGTAAATTGTTACCAAATTGTTTGCTGGTCCCATCGCAGAACAGCACTGGAGACTGGAGGCACATAGGGTACGACGTGCAGCTCCGAGTCTAGCTGAAAGTGCTGGTTCTGTCTCTCCTCCACCCCAACAAATCGCTACGGTACGTTAGAATAACAAGGTTCTGTCTGCTCAAGACCAATTTTTGTTGAGAAATTTGACGTCAAAATAGCAGTTACACATCATGTCAAGCCTTTCCAAATGCAATTCTTTGAATGTCTTGATAACGACTCCAACTAATCTTGGTAAATAATCTTACGATTTTGATACTCATTGATATTGATAGAGAACAGTTAGAAAATTGGGCTTCTGACCTCATCGTCTTAATAATACATGTACACGTGGTAACTCAAAATGGTCAAAAATGTCAGATAGAACTTTGTGATTCTAACTAAGGTAGCGAAAAAGTTCCAGGCTTGTTCAGGAACTTTGATAAGATGGCAAGGTCAGAGTTCACTGTGACAGGATGCTGCTGTTCACCAAGAAAGGGGGAAAAAAGGGCTCGATGATGCCCTGATAGTGATAGCTCATCGCTGCCACAAACGCCGTAACCTGATCACGCAGGCCTTTTTCGTGAACTTCTTCGGGATTTGCCAGTCCTTAATAGTCGTAGCTTTTGCTATTCTCAAAGTTGTTTGTTCAAGTACTACGAGCCTCCTAAGAGAACCAAAGCCGTTGGATAAGTTTCATCCTGATTACAAGACAAGCCATGCGAGTTTTTTGTTTGTTTTGGACTTTTTAAAATTATGGTACAATTCGAAGACGTCCACGTCCACTTAAACTTTTCTCTTCGACAACGGGTGACCCTACTGGACGGTTTCGACAGTGTGTGTCCGAGTTTGTTTGTTTGTGAGTGTGTGTGTGTGTGTGTGTGTGTGTGTGATACCGATACTGTGTGTGTGTGTGTGTGTGTGTGTGAGAGAGAGAGAGAGAGAGAGAGGGTGAGAGAGAGAGAGAGAGAGAGAGAGAGAGAGAGAGAGAGAGAGAGAGAGAGAGAGAGAGAGAGAGAGAGAGAGAGAGAGAGAGAGAGAAATTTGAGTTTCCACAGTAAAATCATTTCAAAGGACATCTAACTCTAAAGAATAAAACAGAGCTGAAAAAACCCATTAATTATTTAGTGCAAGTGTGTTTTTACACCTCCATCAACACTATTTAAATAATTTTGGAAGTGGGCTTCCGACCCTGCTTGTCGCGCCAACCTGGGCCGAGAGGGAAACTAAATCCCCAAAGAAAGACCAAGATGCTCAATAAAAATTTCCATTTGGGAATAAAACTCTGGTCTCCTGCCTTTGACTGCAAAGTGCCTGACCACTACATCAAACGGGTCAGTATCACAGTTCTAACTTTAAAGAGAATCAAAGATGAAATAGTGGTCAAACCCACGAATAAATCTTCAAATGATCATCAACGGCCCTGAATTTGTTGCTAAGACTTCTTTAGTTTTAGTTTTTACGGCACTGACAATTGCAGCACAGGAAGTACCGAAGATTGGAGGGGCAACAAAGTAACAAACACAAAAAAGAGAAGGAGAAGAGATAAGGACAATACCGGTATATATATGTTTTGGTAGAAGGAAAGGACTTCAAGCTGAAGTCTTGCTCACGACTCACATGACATTAACAAATGTTTATAATGTAGCCTACAATGTAATGTACATATGTAAATGCAATACAGGCAAGGTCCCCAAATGAAAAATAAAAGTACCTAGACTATCTACTATTTGAATTCAGCAAAACCAAGAGAAAAAGAAAGCCTAAGTTAAAAATTATTCCAGCTTTCTTCTTTTTTCTTCTGTGTGCCCCTGCTCGAGCTCAGGAGATAACATTAGCAACATCTTAGATCTTCATGTCAAAGTGCAGTTCACCTTTAGTTAGTTACATGGCCATTTTATCTTTATCTATATAGAACGTAGAATCATCCCTCGCACCTGGCACTGGCAGACAGCAATGTGCAATTGTTCAAGCTTAAGGTAGGTCTCAAGACATCATTATAGCCTGCATCCATTTTATCTACATGATAGGAAGTACACAGTGGAATCCTGATATAACGAAAGGGAGGGGACCGGTGCAAATGTCCGTTATAGCAGGATTCTCGTAACAAGGGATCCAGTAATAAATTCATGGGAAATAATAAAGTAGGCCTAATCTATGAGTCTGGTGGTCTGTTTATTTCTTTTCGTTATCTCCTCATGTGATGATTTGGTTCAACATGACCTCTAGGTCTTATATTATACTTGATCAAAAATCGAATCAGGTTTCTTTCTCTAGCGCTACCAAAGTGGACAGCTCGGCTTTGGCGATCAGAAAGAGGGGGCTCTGGCTCTAGGCTAACTGGCCCACTGTGTTGTCCCCCAACCCATCACACCCTGAGGTGAGTTCAGTCTGCTTGCGCCCGTCACACATTCACTCCATCCATCACAGCACCGTGACCTCTCCATCCCCGCATCGGAGAAGTGAGAGGCATGGTAGGCTTAGATAATCTAGACTACGCTGACCTATCATGTGATGCGTTCTCTGCCTGTCTGTGCATACCACACCTTCCCCGCTCATTTGCTCTGGCCTTCATTATTGGCATACGTGGGCTCCCCCACTCTTTGTTTTGCTATATCACCAACAAGTTTCTCAACCGGCGAGGTTTTACATGTATAAAAAACAGCCTATGCGCTGTGTACACTACTGTACAGCAGCAGCAATATGCCGCTATAACCGACTCACATGTTAGTCTGACTCTGAGTACGCTATAGCAGTATTTTATTTACAAAGATAAAGAAGGAAAAAAAACGGGGTTTCAGAATAGTGTCTTTATAACAGACTTCTCGTTGTTTCAGGACTCGTTATAAGTGGACTCCACTGTAACATCATTCTTTGCCTGACAAGCAGCTCTCGCTATTTTCGAAGGTACATTTATACTGACTTGAGTCGCTTTGACTTACGATTAATTTTGATTTTTGTACAGATGGCCACCCGAAGAGCCTATTCTTTTCAATTTTAGAATACCATGGGATCTTTACATGACGACCCCCGAAAATTTTCATCCTCTGAGTGAGAAGACGAGGTGCTCGATCCAACCTACTGTAGACAGCGATAGTAAAAAACACCTCTGGGTTGACAGGCAAACACTATACCTGTAGAACTGCCAAGTCCCCTATTCCAACTTTCCAAGTGTCGGTAGCTGAGTGGTTGGGCTATTCGACTCGCAATAGTGAGATTGTGGGTTCGGGGTACGGCATCAGCTTGGTCCGACGTTGTGTCTTTGGGAAAGGCACCTCACATAAATTTCCCATTAGGCTCGCTCCTTTTGGAGATGGACGTTAAAGTAACTCAGAGGTTCCCCCTCTTAAATAACCTAATATTTAATCATGTTGATAGGGGCGTTAAGCCTATACCCGGTAACATGCACATGCACCACCTTCCAAAAGAATTTATCTTTTGGGAAGAATGTATGTACAATAATGTAAAAATTATTCCTCTGTAATAGCTAACACAAAAAGTTTAATGAAAAAATCAATGCCTCCTTTTCTGTTTGATATCCTCCACAAAACTCAACTGACCTCACTGTTGATTTCGAAAAGTCATATGTCCAATACATATAAAGATCTACTATAATATACCCATTGCACTTAATTGCACCAAGAAGCAAAACTCTAAATAACACGCATTAAGTTTTTATTTTTACTCTAGGCGACCTTCCAAATACTTAAAACTTTCTAAAATGAAATCACTTTATACTCATATATCATCCAATATATATGTGTTGAAAAAGGTGCAATCCACACTAAGTTAAGAGCAATAAATATGCAGAATGTGAAACCAACAAAAGGATGTGAAGTGCGAAGGCTTTGTACAGACCTTCATGCCATTGGTAATGGTATCACAGGTAAGAGTGCCATACTTTGTGTGTAAAGGAACTCAAGACAATGATGAAAAGGACAAGTCTTTTCAAGGTGAAGATGTTTATTCATTTCACAAGCTATAACATTCAAACATAAAAACTACTCAGTTATTTATCTTTCATTTCTCTTGAAAGTGACTGAGATACGTTCCTGCACTCATTTCCATACACATAAAAAAGAAGCCCTACTACATCTAGGGTAACTCATGTTGTTATCACAAATTTTCCTTTTTCCTTTTGTTCCTCCTTTCTTGGGCTGTGCTTGTAAAACAGTTATCTTCTCACCCCAAATCCCTACAAAAATTTGAAGTATACATGATGTCTCTCTATTCATTCTTGGGTGGAGCTGCCATCCGCCTGAGGGTATCGAAAGTGAGGACGACTCCAGTCACCACCAGGATGCAGGAAATTCTGTACAAGGTCACATCAGCGGGCTGCTTTTGCCAGACCAGCAGTCCATCGTCTTGCTGTAATGTTGGACAAAAACAACTATTACAAATTTACAGATAATAATATATCAATTTAGATATATGGGTCAGACAGTCCTGAGCTGAGTACAAAGAAACATTCTATTACTATCAGATTATATTTTCTTCCCCTTCATCCTCCTAATACAGTGGAACTTGGATTAAACGAGCTCGGATTCAACGAGAACTCGGATTCAACTAGATGAGATAAATTCCCTGGTTTTTTTCTTCTTTAAAATCAATAAAAATAACCCGGATTCAACGAGCATTTAAATCAGCGAGCTCGGATTCAACGAGGTCGCTTCCAGGGTGAACAGCCCCCACAGACGTGGTTTCGCTCATTTTTCTCCCAGAACGAACTTTATCTATTCCTGGAAACCATCCATTGCAACTGCATCGTGAACCATTACAATGTATTCACTTAGCCGATTGCATGCGACCAATCAGCAGCCTTTTTTCATACCAACACATGCCTTGTTGACACTCGCACGTGTCTACTCTGGCATGTGTCTGGGTCGGATGGGCGGCCTGCACATGTGTGGCTGTGTGTGCGTGTCGAGGGGGGGGGGCACTAGCGATCCGGGCGTTGAACGTTGCAGATACAAATGTGTTACAGTCTTTTTTCCCCCTCGGCATCTGATCACTATTACCATGATAAGCTAGTCCTGACGTAGATCTACATAATGAATTGTGCGCTGGTCTATGGAATCAAAAGTTGCCATGTGCTAGGCTCTACACAGCAACACAACTTTTTGGTAAACAATCAAGATGACACAGGCGTGCATTTGAACGAATCAGGTCTTTTTTTTTTTACACAGCTCATCATAAGCAGGCATTTCAGGCACTACTTATGACTTCTCTTTATGCATTACTTGCTTAGTGCCTCCTGTAATTAATTATCTAAACAAAACCTAATGTTTGCTATAACGAACACTCGGATTCAACGAGGTTTTAGGTCAGGCCCGGCGACCTCGTTGAATCCGAGCACTGTATAACCCAGAGGGGAACTGACATGTTCTAGTTGTCAACTTTTAACCGAGATGACTGAGTTTAACCAATGAACTCTTTGATCTGGGTGGTGAAGAGCCTAAGAAAAACAAGTGTGTGTGTGTACCTCCTCTCTTTTGACAGGGATAAAAAAAAAAGTTGGGAGAGCCTAGGTGTACAATTAAAAGTAAAAAAGAGCAGGCCTGCACACATTATACACAAGGTGCCATTTTGTGCCACATTAACAAAGATTTTTGTTGTTGTTGTTTTGAGTGAGAGAAAACGACATGTCATCAAATAACATGAACTAAACATGACCTAAAAAAAATCAAGTCTGTTCCGCCTTAGATTCTCATGACTTTAAAAAATTTCCTTAGAGAAGCACCACAAGGGTTAAACATTTCCGTCACATGATAAATATAAGTATCCCGTAAAGAGAAAATGCAGTATGGGCACGAGTGTGATCATAAAATTAGGTGTCAATTGTAAAATGAAACTTTAATTTGACTGTTACAAAAGAGTTTGTCTTCAAGATCATGAATTTAAAATGTATTTTTTAAAAGTTTTACTTAAAGTGATATAAGTGAGACATTGTAATTGCAGCGGAATCAGGTGCTCGTCAAAATAATGAAATCGGCGGTATAAGGGTTGGAAATTAAATCACTGCCACCATGAAAAGTACACTGTGTGCGGCATGGCTAGTCTAGTGGGTTTGGCAACCAGCCTTGTTATCTTGAGATTATGGGTTTGGGGGCTGGCGAGTCAGCTCGGTCTGACATTGTGTTCTTTGGAAAAAGACTTTACTCAAAATGTGCCCATTTGGTATGGTCCTATCGGAGATGAATATTAAATTCTGAAGTCCCACCTCTTAAATAACTTTACAGTATTGCAAGCGGCGTTAACCCCTTCGCTGCCTTATGACATAGGCCTACCTGTAAAATCATTCAAATGTGTAATTTTTAGTACTGTGCTGTACCATTTACGTCAAAGAAGTTGACAAAATTTGCCGCTCCTGGTTGCCTATATGACGTTTCATGTACGTCACGCTAATAACCTGGCTCGAATTCTTCTATACAGACAGTGTTTTAGCCACAAGCGCTACGTAGATTCGTATTCGGAAATAAAAGACGCGCATATCGGTACCAAATTTGCTAGTATTTCTTTACTGTCAGGCTTGCAAGCAATCGATAAACATAGATCTAGGCTTGCAGGCAGCCGCATGCTCTCGTAAAACGTAAACATCGAAATGGTTTTAAAAAGGCAAATAAATTCACTTTTTCACTTTGACTTAGATTTGCAGATTATTCGAAATTATGAAAACCCGGTCCCCAAAATATGTCAGCAGTGCACTAGATCTAGACCGCACGTCCATTAACCCTATCCGTACGTCTGGTTTTACTATCATATCCATTCCATACGACGTGGGGAACTCTGTACCTCCACTTTCCAAAGAGGAAATTCACTCGTTCATCCGATCTGTACGCTTTGCATAGCAGTCTGTCAAATTGATTTTTTGAGAAATACTGAAAGTTTCAAAGAGATCTTTGCACTAGAAGTACCGGGTATTCGAAAATGTGAAAAATACAACCCCTGGGGTACAAAATGACACCAGGCGTATGGATCGGGTTAACACTGGGCTATTCTAGCTGTTGTCCTGGGTAATGAGCTCAGCTGAAAATTAGTGCTGACAGTAGGAATGTATACCCCCTGGCAACAAAAGGGTTAAACTTATACATGATACAATTTCGCAACTGGACAGACAGATGGATAGTACACACGACTTATCTGGTGTCAAGGCAAAAGAAAGCAAAAGGGATGCTGATGAGCCTTGTAAGTCAGATCACGATCATGACAATGAAACCAATACATCTGTGCGGATATTCGAGAATATCATACATCTAATACAAAGAAAATATATAAAAAACATTTCAATTAGATAGGGAATTCAAGTTTTGCATCATGGAGTCATCTGCGCTTCACTGTATTAGTACAGATGAATAAAAAGTAGGGTATTTTTTCTTTCAAAAAATTACTTGGCAAGAATTATCAGCTGGCTAAGACCTCTACAAAAAATTAAAGATCAGCTACAACTTGGAGCACTGACTTCGTGCAACTGACAGCCAAACAAGAGAATATACTACAAGCCTGCCCAACCCAAGAAGTACTTGAAGAACAAAGGAAATATTGGCCCAATTCAAGGTCGGGAGCCCCAAAACTCTATGGGAGTCCGGAGAACCTGCGGCAAACAGCATTCTTCACACTAGAGACTGGGATGTCCATTTAAAGATGAACGAGAAAAAAAAAGAAGCTAGCGGTAAAGAAAAGCCTGGATTAAGTGATTTAAACCCCAACCAAATCAAAGAGAAACAAGGGGGAGAGCCACCAGCTAAAGTAACATGCAGAGCTGTTAAAGTACTTTTTAAAAAAGTACTTAAGTACAAATTTAAGTACAATCTAAAAAATGTACTTAAGTACAGTAAAAGTACTTTCCTATAAAATGTACTTGAGTACAAGTACTTTTTAAAAAGTACTTATGAGTACATTTTGAGTACTTTCTGCTAATATGCTAAAACACTTCAGCGCTTATGCAAAACATCATATTTTATAACTTATCCAGTATATTTGACAAATTAGGCTATTTATTACTAAAAATGTAAACAGTATACAAAGCATTTGAATATACAATGTACGCACTGAACGGTGGAAATGGTCCGTGAAGTTGAACAAAAAACAACCCAAATGAACAGACGCAACTAGTGGGTAAGTGATATTATGAATAGAACTTGTTTGAGCAAGACAATGTGATCAAATGTAAGTCAGTCCTAGAGGTCGGAAAGTTCTACAGAAAGAGTATCCAAATTGAAAAATGTAGATACAAATTTGCTCTTAAGAAAACATAAAATTGATAAAAATGGCTCGCATAGAAATGGAAAAGTGCATTGAATTCTTCATTAACAAATCCTCAAGGAATCAATGTAGCCTTAAGCAAAAACCACACAAAAAAGTTTAAAAGAAATTTAGGCAGCCTAAAAATTGTTAGATACACATTGAGAACACAGTTTCAGTTTCAATTGATTATCGTGGTCTGACAGACTTTGGTCACACTGTGTAGTCCACGGCGCCAACGGCAAACCAAAATACAATAGTTTCCTAGAGTCTAGTAAGTGTAGTGTAACCAAAGATTCTCTACTGCAGTAGTCTCCGCCTAAGATCCCAGTGTTCGGAAGCAAGGAAAATATAGAATCTAGGATCTTAGCCAACGAAGCCAAGGAAGAATCTACAGTGACCCATGAACTGACGTGACCTGGGTGGATTTATGACATATGGCAAGCAAAGAGTGGTCAACCTTGATTACCAATCACAATGGCATGAGGCATGCTATAAATAACATTATATATACACACTCATTAGCCTATCGTGAGTCTTGAGATCTTTATCTACGTTTATCCAGTTGCCCCTCCCCTTTACCTGTCCAACAATTTTAGCTTTCCATCTCTCATTGAGTCCCCCCCCCCCCCTCAACCTCCTTTGTCATTACGCACCATTATCATGATGTGACCACACTAATTAAAATTCAGGTTGTCTCGCAAATTCGGGAAAAACTGCTTTAATGGTCAGAGAAGAGTTCACAGTTTGATGTGATCCCACCTGGAGCGAACTTGTAGGCCCTACCCACCCAGGGAGTGATGTAAGTTTAGGTGGTGAGGTCAGATGCGAGAGCGATGTTCGGGGAAAACAAACGCATCGGTCAGTTCACACCTCGGTGTGATCCCGTCTGGAGCAAACACTGCACCTTTTCAAGGAGTTTTACAATGCTTGTGATCACATTCACGATAGTGGCTGATCTTTGAGGCGACGGGCCGTTCTTTGATCTCAACTTTTAACTCTTGGCGGTTGATCGGGTTTTTGCTCCATAAATTATGATCAGAAATGCCTGCACTTACCCTTTCATTAAGCTACCAAAGTACTCAAAATGTACTTAAAAAGTACTCAAAAGTACTTTTATAAAAAGTATTGGAGTACAGTAAAAGTACTGGTTTCAAAAAGTACCAGAGTACAATAAAAGTACCGAAATTTGTAACGTAAGTACAAGTACCGGAGTACTTGTACTCCGTTACTACCAGCTCTGGTAACATGTTAATGTTATTAAAAATAAAAGCAGCAATAATTTTTAAAACACTTAATAGGGTTTTGAAAAGGGGGGGGGGGGGGAGGAGGTGTTGTGAACGTAAACTTGTGTAGTATTGCAAACGCATGTTCACTCACACAAAAACGGGTCTGCAGTTCCTGCAGCTTCCTGTATCTGGATGAGTTTGGCACAGGGTACTGTCCTTGTGATGCTTTAGGCAAAGGTTCTGCCAGGCTAGACAAGCGTCTCAAAAAGATACGACCAAACATCTGTGGATTAAAAAAAAATATATCATTCATTAGATGATTTTGTAAATGAAATTATTTGTTTACTTGATGATGAACACACCCCCTCCCCCCCAATTTGAAAAAATAAACCATGAAAGATTAACCAACTTTATGATCTTTGCACAGAATCTTTGTTAATGAATGGCATTATCAGCTCGATAATTTACATAGAAGCAATTAAGCTGGCCCTCCAGGAAATCGCAGTCTTGTAGACTAATATAATCATTATCATGCTTAAAAGTCTGCTTTCCCCCCTGTCACTGTAAAATAATACAGTATTCAATTTTTTTTTTTTTCATAATTGAAATCAGGGTTTGGTTGATTTAAATCAGTTGATTAAAAAAATTAACTTGATTTTAAAAATAAAACTCATGCTCATTAAAAGTCTGCTTTCCCCCTGTCACTGTAAAATAATACAATATTCAATTTACTTTTTTTTCATAATTGAAATTAGCATTTTATTTTTATTTTTAGACAAACACAAGCGTGTACACACACACACACTATAATAAAATGCAAGTTTATCTATAATTTACCCCCCCTTCCTTTTAGACTGACATTTTTTTCATTTTTTGTCTGTAGCCATAATTCACTGATATAGCAGATTAACTTAATTATAGCTTTCTTTTGCAGTTGCTTAAATTAATCATTACTTAAAGACAATGCATTTTGCACTAATAGAACATACTTTTAGCCACCAAAAATCCCAAACTATGTTGACTTTAAAAAATAAAAAAAAATAATCCGATTTAAATAAAATAAATCTGATTTAAATTTTAAAAATCGATTTCTTAAATTTTTATTTAAAAAATCAAAAAAATCACCAACCCTGTTGCCAAACCAATAAACCCATATCTCGAAAACCTTACATCTCCTTGCTATAATACTTCATGAATATGGGCACTAAATGTCAATCTGTAACTGACAGAAAGGGGAGTTTGAAAAAATTTTTTTACTTTTACTACACCGATTTCCTTCATTTTGCACCATGAAGGTAGCTTTTCTCCCTCCAAGGAGGAAAATCTGGCGAGTCCAAACAACCAAAATGTACCAAACTAACCTTGCTAACCAATGGGCCATGAGTTAGTAGATCTAGTGCTTGTTAGCAGCAGTGCAGTAGACGGTAAGATTGTACTTTACCGGACCACTGGTCGGAACTACTTTCGCTATGGCGCCCCTGGTGCCTGGTGGCCTGCTATTCTTCCTTTCCAAGCTCCCCTACTCACTCTCCCACTCAGCTTTCTACGTCCTCATCCTTCGACTGCGAACAACTGACTGACGTCTCTTACCGGGTTTTTCAGTCATCACGACCATGCCACCGCGCCCTTTGACCCACGACCCTGACACCTTGAGGCTAATTGGTCAATCTAATCACGGGGTCCACTATTCTTATTTGCTCGTGACTCTGCTAGGTTAGGCCTAGCCTACTCCTGGTCAGGCAAAGTACAATGGAGGGCGAGAGATGCGCACGAGAGCGCATTTGCACACAACCCCCTCGGCACTACTCGCGACTTGGGGAGTGCTGCGAAGCAAGGCTCGGCCTGTTCCAACTTTAATTAGATCTACCCCGATTGTCCACTTAGCTCCATGGTCCGCTCATGTTATTGTTTATGTTGGGCGCCATCTGTCGATTTGCGCGATCCATCAATCACGCAGGGCATTTGGTTGATCAAGGAAACGCGCGACAATCCATCGATTGTTGCGCATTCTGTTGATCAGTGGATCGCGCAGCACTTTTTGTCGATCCGTTTGGTTGTGCATTCTATAGATCTTACCCTTGAGTTTTGTTATGTTTTGTTGTCGTCCAGTGTGTAATTTAGTTTCACTCTCCCAAGTCAAACCGAAACTGAATGGAAGTAACTGGAAGTCAGGGTTACAATAACGAACTAATCAAAGTGACTATTCGAGTCCGAATAGACAAAAATTATAATCGGACTCTGAATTGAGTCCAGTATGATGTCCGTTCCGACTTCCGACCCTTGTTTCTAATTATTTCCAGCACATTTATTTCGATTATTATGATAACAATTGAGACGTGAGCTTTAATATCCAGTTACTAGATCTATCTAAACTGGTCCCCCCTGCGTCATTTGTATGAAAAAAATTAAGTTGACCCGGGGGCAAAGTTAATTAATTATGTCGACCAATGAGACTGCGTGTAGCATTTATATCGCACTCTCGGCTTATGGGGGAAGAGGTGTTGGGAAGAGGTCACGGCTGTCGATTTTGTGCGATGTGGTTTTTTTTTAAAATTACAGAAAAACTCAACACTCAACAAAATCAAATTAAACATGTGGAAAGACAAATGGTGGTGGAAGTAATGATGATGCTGTAGTGGAGGTGGAAATGTCGGTTTCCGTGTACTTAGACACTGCCATAGGGTAGATCTAATGAGAGTGCAATCAGGGTTAGGCCTATAGGTCGGTGAGTACCACTCACTGATGTGCTCAGTAAACTAATTATCTTTTAAAAAAAATTCATTTCATCATCATAGTTTATCGACAGAATGCGCAGTAAGTATATATAATATTTCACGGATCGACAAAAAGCGCAGCGAGATCCGCTGATCAACAGAATGCGCAACAATCGATGGATTGTCGCGCGTTTCCTCGATCAACCAAATGCGCTGCACGGTCGATGGATCGCGCAAATCGACAGATCGAGCCCAACATTTACATGTGTGTGTGAGTTTTTAGATTATTATTGCCAGGGGCTGAAATCCCCCACTGTTGTTATATTGATCTATGTAAACACACGATTGTCCGCTAATGTTGTTTTGCATTTGTGTTTTTTTTGTTGTCCCCCCTGACCCCCCTGTTGGTATGATAAACGGAGGTCCACCAGAGTTAAATCCCCTACCCACCCTCAGCCCTCAATCACCACCTCTCGCTCATCTCGCCTCTCTGCTGGCTTGCGCTGTGCGTGAAGTCACCCGCGGAAATACCTTTTGTCCGCACGTAGAGAACTATGAGTGCGTAGTTCGGCTAGGCCTAGGCGTGCCTGCGAGACAGGTGGTCCGGTAAAGTACAATCCAGCCTAGTAGACACTGCCTGCTTTGCCCTGATTTAGTTCGCATGTTCTTTACCACTTTACCATAGCCATAGATAGATAGTCCATGGCGATTGTCAAGATTTCCGCGTTTCATTCCGATATGTGCGTTTTTCATAGCCTCAGGTATGTTTCGCTTTGGTCCCTAACCCTAACCCTGGTCAGGGTTAGGGTTAGGGTTAGGGTTAGGGTTAGGGTTAGGGACCAAAGCAAAACATACCTGAGGCTATGAAAAACGCACATCGGAATTAAACGCGAAAATCTTAACAATCGCCTGGGCCTAGATTCTAGATCAATTCCCATAGGCATAGCCTTGCTAGATAGGACTTTAGACTTTATTCAAGATCAAAGGTTAGACCTAGAGACAAGGACAGAGGTTATTTCAGTCAATTTTCCATACCTCTAGATCTACTCAAAACTTGTCAAAGATGACTGGACATCATTATTTTATAAGAAACGTGACAAAGATACAACAAGGGAATGGCCGCTTGAAGCAGCGGGCATCAGACATGCTAACTAAACAGGCAAAGGTCAACGGCACAGTAAGTTACAGCCTTTGATTTACAGCTAGGACATGTATCTAAAACTGATCAAATCAGTAAAACTAATAAGTCCCTATCTCAGTTGAAATCGACAACACTAGTTAAATGCTTGAAAGGGGAAGGAAATCATTTTAGCAAAATCTTACTGTGAATGTCCTTCGTTTTGTTTCAGTCACAAATCCAGTGGAGGGGCAGCTGAAGAAGGCCAGGTACAAAACAGTAACACAGTTGAAGGAGAAAATGTAAGGAGAAGTGATATCTGGCCACAAATAATTTTACGCGACCATCAACTCTTTCCTGAAGTTTCATTGTTTTAGAAAAATTTCTTGCAGTATTGGGTAGGATAAGTAACAAAGCTGATGAAATATAGTTTTTTTAAAGTAAATTTGTAACACATATTAACGAGATCCGAAGACTGACATATTAGGCCCTATGGCCTACGCCTACTTTTTCTGCATACAAACCGGCATTATAAGTCTTTTACGAAAGGAACGTATAATAGGTTTATTCGATCGGAAGAGGGGGGTTTCATTAAATTATATTAGAGAGAGAGAGAGAGAGAGAGAGAGAGAGAGAGAGAGAGAAGGGGTGGGGGGGGGGAGAGGTTGTGCCGACTGTGTTGAAAACACACAACGTAGTAATTCAACCTAGGAGTTTTTGCTCTGAATGCAATAAAGTAAAATTTCCTGGTGGTGCAATGATCAACAAAAGAGTTTGAGTGAGGATGAGACAGAGAGACCAGATCGAGACAGATAGGGAGAGAGAGAGAGAGAGAGAGAGAGAGAGAGAGAGAGAGAGAGAGAGAGAGAGAGAGAGAGACAGACAGACAGACAAACAGACAGACAGACATACAGGCAGACAGAAAGAGAGAGAGAGAGAGAGAGAGAGAGAGAGAGAGAGAGAGAGAGAGAGAGGAAGAATAGCATTAAGTTTATAGAGAATGAACGTATAATTCTGTCTGTATAGCCATTCAAGTCAGTTTCATAGCGACTGTGTAGTGAGTTTTTATTACAGTATTCTACATAATTTTTAGTGCATGCATTGCCGGGCTCACTGAGTGACTAATTAGATATATCTCTTTTTTTTCTTTTTCTTTCTTTAAAAAAAAATACCTAGAATCTAGGGCCTACACATTTATACATAAAATTATGCTCTACGTACACACCTGTCTAATTTTCGCCTTTTGTCCGAGAAGACTAGGTGAAGATCTTTTCTACCATAATATCAGGGGTGCGGCTGAAAGACAGTAAGAAGGAGCCAAGTAACAGTAGAAAGACAGCAGTCAGGAGCCCAGAGGAGGGGGCAGAAGAGGTGAGGGTAGAAAGTGGAGACTAAATCAGACGACAGAACATTGTTAATGTTAGGGAGCAGGAAAGGATGTGAAAGGAGAAATTTTTAGAGAAGGAAATTTTCCGTCGCTATTGGGATTCCCCTCCGAGGATACCGGAACTAAAGCTATTTTGGTAGCCTCGCCCCGGACCTATTGAATGAGAGGCGAACAACGAACATCTTAACCCCAAGGCCACGAGAGCCCCCGGACCTATACGTTCTTATACTATCTCTGACCGTCTAGTCCCGGACCTATGTTTGCTGTTGTATTTCCCCATAGGGATCAATAAAATGTAATTTATTATTTATTATAATATGATAGCAGTTGAGTTGAGTAAAGTCACAAAGTCGTTCGATACTGTAAAGGGTTCCGTTTGAAAATAACGTAGCGTCTTTCAAAATGTACTTATTATTTTATAGATTAAAAAAAAATTGTTGCAAAAATATCGCGAAACAAATATAGGGCCTACATTTTTATAGAGTAAATATAAATGAAGAGCACAATAACGTTTATTACATGGCTTCTTTTGAGGAAGGCATTAAAGTGAATGTGGGGACGGATAGGCTTCTACAACTCGTTCAGACTACCAATGCTATTCTGGGAAAAGAAACAATATCTCCCCTCCCCTTTGCAACATCAGATGACGAACTTAATATTTTATTTGTGACTTTTTTTCAATGACAAAATTAATAACACACGCTCTTCCTTCACTCGACCTAAAGCCAAATGGAAATTTACATGGGTACTTGTTTATACCGGAACCTCCCGAAAACAACCGAAACCTCCCAAAACCACCCGAAACCACGCCAAAACCCCCCGAAACCACCCGAAACCTCCTCAAAATTTCTATGATATGATGTTATTTTGCTATGCTATCTATCGCTCTGTGGGAAAAATATTGATCTGTAATACAATATTATCGTTTTTGGACTCTTTTTTTGTTTTAGTAAGTGTTTTACTGCACTTGCAACACGATAAGGTTAAACTCAACCGAGTGCCGAAGATTAGAGGTGTTACAAGAGAGCAACAAACACAAAACAGAAGGAGGCGGGAGATAAGGATGATAGATGTTTGATAGGAAAGAAGGAGCAAAACACACCAGAGCACCCGCCAATCACCCACTTGGATACTTCTTGATCCTGAAAACATTATTTAAACTTTTTTTAAAAGTACGATAGCATTATATATAAGAGACAATATTTCACTTGGTTTGACTTATTTGTTTTTATTTCAAACACTTTTTATTTGGCATGTACAAAGGAAAAGTGCATATCTAAAAATAGTCTTGGGGAATTAGTGGTATATGCTTTAGTTTTCATTTTACGGGACTTAAAAAATTGGCTTATTGCATAACTGAAAAAAGGGAAAAAACCACTTTCTGACGCCATTTATCAAAAGCTACAAGTGCAATAAAAAAATTCCTCAAGACAGTTTTTAGAAATAAGAGTCGTTAACATTTTGTGAAAGTTACATTAAAATCGAATAAGATACAGCAAGAAAATGGGATAAAATGTGTGAAAATAGCATTTTAAGAAAATGGCCGATAAAGGTCAGAAAAGTCCAAAATAGTTCTCATTCCAATTAGAAACCGTAAAAACATATTTTAAACTCGAACATGGCAACTTCTTGATAATATTAACGCAATAGAAATAGAATGAACGTTTCCTACTAAAAACTGAAACATATAGGCTGTGTAAAACATGCCTTTTGAGAAAAAAGTGGCAATTATTTTCTTTTTAAAATTGTCTACCCTCTGCTCTAAAATCCCTTCAAACACCACTTTAGGGTATAGAAAATCTTACATACGTTTCTGGACTTTTGTCCAGGAAATATGCAGGAATAATATTATATAATAAGTGATAACCCAAGTTTTTTTTAAATAATTTCACTCCAAAATATTTTATGGGTCACTTCATAGTCACTTCTCCATAGAATACTTCACAACATGCATAAGATAACAGACATTAAATAACGCATCATAACATTATGTGAAAATCTATAGTTGAATACTACTATAACACTAATTAAAATTCTAAGAAGTACAGGCTATTAATTGCAACCTGAGCAGTCGCTAATCAGTTAAAACAAAATAAAGAATGGAGTTGAAAAAAGATTTCACAAACTGTCATTTTCTCTTATAAAAAGAACCAAGAACCAGCCGACATAATATTTTATCCACAGAGCGATAGATAGCATAGCAAATAACATCATATCATAGACATTTTGAGGGGGTTTCGGGTGGTTTCGGGAAGTTTTGGGTGGTTTCGGGTGGTTTTTGCGTGGTTTGGGGTGGTTTTTGCGTGGTTTGGGGTGGTTTGGGGAGGTTTCGGTTGTTTTCGGGAGGTTCCGGTATAAACAAATACCGGAATTTTCATAATTTACTGAACATATTATATTAGATTCTTTTAGTCCAGTTACAGACAGTGGCGGGGCGCCATTGGTGCAATCGCTCCACCTAACCCTGGCCTTCACCCCCCCCCCCCTTTTTTTTCTTTCTAATTGTTCTAAACCAGTCAGTGCTCTAGATCTACATTAGGCCTACTTCGGGAATAGAGAGAAGTGGTTTATATCTATGGACCTACTACATCCTTGCGATCCGTTACCCGCTGGCTGCGCCAGTGAAGAGACAGACGGCGAGGACGGTTTATGCTCGTTTGCACCGCTTGAGGTAGTGTCCGCTGGGAGCAAACAAAATCTTTGCACCAAAGTTATTGTTGTCACTGTAGAGAAATCTAGGCATAGTTCTTCCCGCACAAGAAGAAAGGTACATTATGAAACTGCTCTTCGCAGCACCAAATTGGTGGCAGATAAAAATTTGATCAAAGTTTCCGCGAGCCTATCTACTACACTTGTAGAGTCTACGGTAACTCAATGAAGAATGGGAATCGGAACTGTCGTCTCTCTCTATTGTGTAGCAAGTCCTGGTGCTGCACGAAGTAATTAGAAATCTTTGAATCTTCTCAGATTGTGAGCATAGTGAGTTGTTAGTATTGTTTCACTTTATTGCAACTTTTATGCGGTTTCATACAGAAACAGTTGTAAATATCGATAGATGTAGATTACGGAATATCCGGTAGATTCTAATTGACTTTCTCTAGAAATCTTAATAGTAGCTACTAAAGCCTATTGCCCATTTGCTCACTTTCCAATTGGTCGCTTTTAAGGACAAGGGGGCTATCCCAAAAAAATGCTGCTTTGAGAAAAACGAAGGTAAAGTTGTTGCCCCTTGTTCAGTTTCTTTAAAAGACAAGGAGAGTTTTCTCTATAACGCAAAAAATATACACACAAATGAAACTAAACTCCTCCTATGGGTAGGCCAATGCCCACTTTTGGTGTAGGTCAAGATTTCTGGAAACCCTCGAAATCTGGGCAAAGATTTGATCTGGGTTAGCCCGCTTGTCCTTAAAAGCGACCAATTATGCACCACCTTGTCTGCAATCCACGCGACGCCACAGATTACAGGTACCGATATTTTAAATTGTATCAATGGGTCAACCATAAAAACATGTGACCTTGACCCCATGCCTGCTCAGGTACTCAAAACCTGTATTGATATTGTCCTACCTCATATTACTCTGGTAGTGAATATGTCACTTGTCACAGGCACTGTACCAAATACTTTCAAACAAAACAAGCTATTGTTAAACCTTTATTGAAAAAACCCGGGCTTGATGAAAATGAATTTAAAAAACTATCGACCAGTACGAATGTGCAATTTGTCTAAAATATTCTAGAGAAGATTGTTTTAAGTCAAGTTTTGGTTCACTTAAAAAACTGGCCTAGAGGAAATTTACCAATCTGCCTATAAAGCTCAACATAGTACCGAAACCGCGAAAGTAACATCTGATTTATTGGGTTCCGTTGATAGCAAAACTTTTACTTTAAACTCTTTTGGATTTTGTCTGCAGCTTTTGACATATTGTATTTTACTCACAAGACTTGAGCGCTCATTTGGCTTATCAGGTACTCTGCTTTCATGGTTTAAGTCATATTTACTAGAAAGAGTTCAATTAGTGCAAATTAAAAACAGCTTTTCAAAGCAGGTCAGGCTCGATTATGGAGTTCCACAGGGGTCTGTTCTTGGACCAGTGCTCTTTACTTTATATACACAGCCCTTAGCAAACATTTTACAAAATCAGGGATTGAAGTATCATTTTTATGCCGATGATTCCTAAATGTATGTTAATGGCACCAATCTAGATCTGCCCAACATGATTTCTATCTCAAAACAATGTTTTTATAAATTTAAAAAGTGGATGACAGTAAACAAATTGAAACTAAACGAAGAAAAGACAGACTTCATTCTTATTATTATAATGGAGCTAAGCCCGTTTGTGGGGCCAGTATACCCTTTTAACATAGGTGCCCATATATTACAAAAATATGATTCAGACAAGAATTGTCCCAAAGGGTTACGTGGGCATATTTTCAAATTTCGAAAACTACCTTTTGATTTTTCAGGTTTGATGGTTTTTCCTGGAAATCGAAACTCTCAGATGTTTTCACTTTGTCATTATCCATTTCATATTTTACTGGGCACTACTTTCGTTTCATATTGTGCTTCTTCGTGCGTGTGAGTAGTTTGCAAGAACAGAAGTGCGATTTGACGGTGAAAGTTCGTGATTCGGAGGTTCGCGTAGACAATTCTTTCATTGTTCCGTATAACCCAACACTGTCTCTTGGATATCAAGCGCACATAAATGTTGAAATTATCCACTCTGTTCAGGCAGTGAAATATCTTTACAAGTACATCTCAAAAGGCGTAGACCGCATCCTGATGGAGGTTCGAACAGACACTGAAAATGATGAAATCTCAAGATATGTCAATGTTTGATACATCTCTGCGAGTGAGGGTTTTTGGAGACTGTTTGCATTTGAAATCCACAGTAAATACCCGCCAGTGGAAAAGTTGCCCTGCCACCTTACAAATCAAGAAACAATTTTGTTCCAGCCTGAAGATATTCATCAAGGAACCCCAGCAACAAAATTGACTGCTTTTTTTCAATATGAATACAGAAGACCCAACAACAAGAAACATCATCTATCCAGATTTTCCTCTCTATTTCACTTGGAATAACAAAGACCACAGGTGGCAGAGAAGGAAACGAGATGTGGGAAACCCAGATAACCCAAAGGAGTGTAGAACTGACTGCATTGGGCGCATCCAAACTGTGTCGCTCAGTCCACACCAGGCAGAGCTCTACAACTTGCGACTTTTACTACACCACAAGCCTGGGGCAATCAGTTTTGACGATCTGAAAACAGTAAATGGATCAAGTTGCACATCTTACCAAGACGGATGCAACCAACTTGGATTGCTTAATGATGACACGGAGAAGGATGCAGCTATGCAAGAAGCATCTTCCATAAGATTTCGACCTCAGTTACTTGCATTAAAAACCATTCTCATCTATTGCAGCCCTGCTGATCCTCTCTCATTTTGGCACAAGCACAAATTGGAACTGTGCTGGGACATCATGATGAGAGACTAGGTCACAGAGTTGAATCCGCAGATTGAGAACCAAGTGTTGCTACAACTTCATCACTTTCTTGATAATGATGTGTTGGATCTGCACAAAGACTTTCAGCTGCCACCTGCAGAACACAGTCACTTTGAGGGAGAACAACCAAGTATTGTCAACAAGGAGTTGAATTTTGACACAAACAACACGAGAGAGAAGGTGAGTCAAAAGTACCCAAAGCTTAATGAAGAACAAAGAGTCGTGTATGGTGCTGTGGTAGAGTGAGTTGTACAGAAGAAAGGCAAGATATTTGCCCTGGAGGCAAGTGGAGGTACTGGGAAAAACCCACACATACAAACCTGATTCTTGCGGCTGTCCGTTCCTTTAAGAAGATGCCTTTGCTACAGCTCTGTCAGGCATTGCAGCAACTCTGCTCTCAAATGGCAGAACATTACACAGCAGATGCAAAATACGTCTGTGTGTGAACGAACAGTCCACGTGCAGTGTGAGTCCCCGAGATGCCAGTTGCACTTTATTACGCCAAACAGACCTGCCCATCATTGATGAAGTATCGATGGGCCACAAACACATCTTTGAAGCCATAGGCCGAACACTTCAAGATATATGAGGGAATAACTCTCTGTTCGGTGGGCTAACTGTGCTGATGTCGGGTGACTGGCGCCAAATACTACCAGTAGTTCGCCATGGCTCAAGATCACAGATAGTCAATGCAACCCTGAAATCATCATATCTGTGGAAGCATGTTAAAGTGCTCAGACTGACAAGCAACATGAGGGTTTTGCTTACAGGTGAGACTGCTGATTTCTCCAACTATCTATTGAACATTGGTGATGGCAAACACAACGTATGCTAGCAAACCGGGGAGTTTTCGATAAAACTGCCAGATGACATCACAGACAACATAATTATTCTCTTTCCATATATGCGACGGAAACAATTTCCGGTTAGACCTGCTTTTGCAATGACTGCCAACAAAGCTCAGGGACAGACTTTGAAAAGGATAGGGGTTTCTCTACAACTACAAGGCAATTTTTTTCCCCACATGGACAATTATATGTCGCAATGAGTCGCGTTGGGTGTAGGGACTCTATTAGGATACATACTAACAGACCTGTTGCCCAGGACGGAGTTCCAGATGGGGCATATACCAGCAATGTTGTAGAGGTCCTACGGCAATGAATCAGGTACCGGAACAAAAGTTTTATCGTTGGCTTTCCTATCACTATATCACCGTTCGTAGAACGGGTCTGTGTCAAGTTTAAATAATCCACGATTAAATAAAGATCTGGAAAGTGTCAACATTGATTTATATGGGCAAATGACATCTAGTAAAGAAGCTGATAAGAATCTCGGTGTATATATTGACCATCACTTATCAATGGGTTCGTTTGTAGGATCTCTGTCCAAATTCCTTTATTTTCAACTGAGAATGATAGGCCAAGTTAGAAAGTACTTAAACGAAGAGACCACAAAACATTGGTAACATCTTTTATCCTATCTAGATTAGACACGGTGATGGTAACTCAATCCTAGCAGGTCTGAACAACAAATTTGAATCTTGTACACATAAGATTACCATTATTATTGTTACCTAAGCTGTCTGAGATTTAAGACCACCTATAGTCTCCTGCTAGTCGCAACTATGTAATTATCTTTGGGCTTGGGTTTACAGTTCTAAGCTCCTTGGCTTGGGTCTAGCTTTACTACCCATAGTAAGAGCCAACAATTTACGATTCGATAACCCTTGGCTATGACAATGTGTAAGAAGGAAGGTAAATTATAGGAAGGATAACCCGCTGTTTTTCTTGGTGTCTTCATGCATGAAACGTGTGTGTGTGTGTGTGTGTGTGTGTGTGTGTGTGTGTGTGTGTGTGTGTG